ACACAGAAATTTGTTAGAGATTTGAAAAGGCAAAAACGAACTCTGAAAAATCTGTAAAAACACTTAAAAATGTGCGGAAAACGAGTGTTCCAAGAAAATAAACAAGAAATTTTTGAGAGGGCAAAGGTCGGAAAAGGAGAAATGTCACGAAACAGCACAGAATACACTTTCGGATTATTTTCGAGATTCCTTTTCTACTAGACAACTTGTAATTAGATCAAATTCGTTGTTCTTACAGTCAAAGCACATTCCACAATCTCACAATTGTCATATTGTTTGTCTATCAACTAGATTTGACCCTCTTGGGCTTGGCTAGACATGGCTTTATCTTTTAGCTCAGGCTCAGGCTCGATGCTCATGCTTGGCGTCCGAAAGCTAGGGATTTTTTAAAATTCATACGCTATCCTATTTTCTTCCTTTTTCATTTGGTCAATAAACTTCTTTTACGAAAAAAAGGTAAACAAGTCGACTCCAAAACCGACCCAGAGGGTCACGTGATATCAAAAAAAGTGTACCGTATCAGAGAGAAAGTCCCTCTCTCGCATAACCGGCTCGAAAAACATACAAAATTCAGAAGCAAAATGAAACAGTTGGAAAAAAGAAATACAAGGAAATAGAAGGATTTTAGAGAAATGGGAAAGGATTAAGTGACAGGTGAAAGGGATTTCTCTATGTTGCCCAATTCTTCCTTCTTTTTTTAGAAATCAATAGTAAAGATGCAAAGTGATTAAGAAAAAAGGAAAATAATTTTTAAAAAGTCTTTGATGTCTTTGTCATTGCTACAATATTGCTTAGCTTCAAAATTTACAAAATTGACCTTAAAAACAGTACCAACAGCTTGAAACATTCATTTTCGAACTTCTGCCAATTTCACTTTTATTTGTTCAATAAAACTTTGAATCTTCTAAGATAAAGTTTGAGAAGCCTGTAAAATATAAAATTTCAAAAGAAATTGGGAAGTAAATCCGAGTAGAGAACGCAGAACGTGGTAAACAAGGTCTTGCCACACCAAAGCAAAGAAAAAAACAAAGAAAAATCGATGAAAAGGGTTGGGGAAATTTGAGAAAGAGTTCACAAAGAACAAAATAAATTTTACCGTAATTCAGTAGCGCAATCCTGTAGTCATAGAATCATAGAACGATTCTCATTATCGGATACGTTTGGCTTATGTCCCTAACCTTTTCACAGATCATTTTGAATCAAATTTGACTACAATAAGATATGCTTAGGCTTAAGCTTTCAAATTAATCTACAAAATTAGATAAGCATAAAGTAAATAGAATAATAATATCAAATACAATAATACAAATACAACAATAATACAAAAACTAGTTCGGTGTATAACGGATCAGCTATGATGAATTAGATCAGCTTTCTCAGCTCTGTCATGGACCTTGAAGTGGTAGAAATGTTAAAGTGAATAGTACCTTAGATATTAATGCTAAAAGTATCCAGAATCAAAGGATTATTCACCAAATCAGTACCAGAATATGAAGCCTCTTCATTGAAATTACATAATAAGGATACAAGGATAAAAGTGGCACGTGGCCTCCTTTAGTGGATAAAAGTGGCCTCCTTCATTTTGCTTTACTCCCAGAAAAGGCATGGGCAGAGTTTTATAGTTCAAAACGTTTAATTGAGTGTCTAGAAGACAGAAAATAGATCAATAAGTGGTAATGTCTGTGTATGGTTGAAGAGATCCCCTCTTTCTGTATCGACTTCTCTTTTCTTCTTCGTCCTTCATTCCGTCACTTCCCTTCTTCTCAAATCCTCACATATCTCACAAAAAGAACATCCAAAAGAGAGTTGAAAAGAAAAGAAATTTGCTCTTTGCTCTCAAATCTCATCTTTCTCTTTCTCTTTCTCTTTCTCTTTCTCTTTCTCTTTTCTTAACTTTTACCTATAGATTCCTTGTCGAGTTAAAAGCCGATAATTGCCTCTGGGGAAGGGAAAATCCCACCCCAAGTGAATCACAAACAGATTATTGCCGAACGATTAAATATTGTTTCTGATTTGACTTCAATATTCAAAAGGATTTAAAAAATGGTTTAAAGATGGGATTCGAAAGCTCCAGTAAAAGGCTAGCTGTTGGAATCGGAAATTTGTGTTTTGATGTTTCAAAGATATAGGCTTAAATCTAGTTTCAATTATAATACTGTATTTTATGCATTTTAATATTATAATTCGTAGAAGTTTATAGAATAAACTGTTTAGATTTCAAAATGGGGAACATCAGCTGAATCTGGCTTCAAACAATATCCAAAAGTCAGTGTCTATCGATTTGCTCACAAAGCAAACAAACCATTTCCTCGGGTTTCAAACTTTTAAACTTTCAAACCGGGTTTCAACTTTAGAAAAAATTCGAATGACCAAAGCTAGCGTTTAGAAAAACCGTTCGACGTTCCAAGTCACCAAAAAACGATGCAGAGGATCGAATGGGGATTTTGTGGGAAATCAAGAGGATTGAGTGAGAGAAAAATAAAAGAAAGGAAAAGGAGATCGAACTCGTCTTTGTGCAGTCCATCGACTTCTCCCCTCCGAAAAAATGCGCTCATAAGCAAAAGACAAAAGAGGGGAAAAGGGTAAGAATTTATCGAAAAGCAAAGGCTTTTCAAATGGTTGGTTTTGAAGAAGGCATTCTCAATGGGAAAGAGTTCTGATAAGCGATAACAGAACCCCAACACTGTGTGAAGCTACGATTGGAAGAGTGGGGAATATAAAAGATGGAGAAATGGTGAAGATTGAGAAAATGGGGAGAACGACAGAAGAAGAGTGAGAAAAATCCATCCCAGAATACAATGCGCCAAAAAATAGCTGATAGGCCGAGTGGGACCGTTTTTCAAGTGATTGACGTTGAAAATTTGAGAATCACAAAACAGTGAGCTGGCATTAGAATTCTTGGGGAAAGGGATGAAGATTCGCACCGTTTTCATACTAAAATTTGCATCCGACTCGCTTTAGTATTATAATGAAAGCTAACGGAATTCATACGCTGAAATTCATTCATGTAATCGCTTTCTTTACAACGCAAAGAAACACTGAATGACAAAAAATTTACATTACTTTACACACGACATAAATCTACGATTCCACACCGTACCATACAGTACTCAAAACGAGAAGAACAACTTTCGATGTAACAAGTAAAGCGACAACAACTTAGGAAGGATTAGACGTTAGCTATGACTAGCTTGTACATAGTATTATCCGGAAAACCCATGCTAATCAAGCAATCAACCCAGTAACAATCACGAGAGGAGAACTGCCTATCAATGAAAAAGAACAGAAAACGGGCGTAAAAAACGTTGAATGAGAAGAGTTTCTCTCGAAAAGAGGCAGAACATGTGGAAACATCTGAAAAGAGAGAGAGAAAAGAATGCTAAGGTAAATGAGGTGAGAGTTGAGAGAAATGGAAAAATGGGAGACACAGGCAGAGAGAAGAGAGATCGGATCGATGCCCATCCCCCTTTCCCCCTCTCGTCCTCATTGAGAAAAAGGGAGAAACGGCACAACTCACAGAGAATGAAAAAAGGAAAAAGTAGCTGAAAAGAAAAAAATTTCTGCTGTCGTCGCTGGCTGGCTCCCTCTCCCTTCGACCGCCCAAGAAGGGAAATGTGAAAGCGTGAAAAGAAAAGAAAAAGAACATTCGACCCTTGACCGACTGAAGAGAGGGACCAACGACACACAAAAACCTCATCTATCGAGAATTGGACTCACTCCCACACATACATCCATTCAAAAAGCGGAAAAACAAGATGATTGGTGGGGAAAACAAGTTGGCAGTATCGACTTTTTCCTTTGAAACATTCTCTCGCGAATTGATCACACAAGGGCGTTGACCTGCCCGGGGGAACAAACACATTCATTCCCCGAACAAACAAACAGAGGGAATGAAAAGAGTCCAGAACAGCAGCTTTGTTAGTTTGTTGGCTTATGACAACTCGGAAGGTGGCGATTCGGAAACTCAATATGTACGACTCTTAAGTTTGAGAATTTGTATTTGAAATCCAAGTTAAATTGCTGCCAAGACGAACAACAATCTTTTCAATATCTCGAATGAGTCGGCTTTTCTCACAACTGCTGCCCTTTCATGTGCTATTTTCATTGATCGAAACAATAATATTTATGGAAAATAACACTCGATTAAAGAGAACGAATAAAGATCTTTACATCACAATTTTAACTGAGGACTTGAAGTCAGTTGTACGATAAAAACCACAAAGTACCTGTAATACTGGGTAAATAAGAGAAGATATTTATATCTAACAATACATAAGAGAGCAAGAGGTATTTAAGTTGAATCATTCCCCCGATAGGTCATCGTTGGATTTCTGCCCCTTCCACGCCTTCCCAGTCCTCCTCTCTTTGATTTGGACTGTGCCATCTTTGCTCGTGAAGCTCCTTCATCGTCTGTTGCTAATACATCACTTCCCTAAAGAAGCCATTGTCATATGTATTCTCTGGCGTATCTTATTTATAACTTAGGCTTCATTAATCGTTATTGGATATAAAAGGTACCAGGTTGAAGACCTGATCCGATGAATGATAGTTACTCGAAAAGAGCAATTCTTGATTCAAGCAAAAAAGCACCAGATTTATACTTTAAAACAAAACAAAGCTGCATTGAATGAAGATGATAAAGAAGAGTTTAAAAGATATATTTGTAGCAATAAAATTAACACATTAGCTCATGGACACTATAAGATTTAAAGCTAATAATTCTAGACTAGTTTAAGATAATAGTCTAACTTTCAAAATTATATTTTATAAAATTCATTCAATCTCATCTTGGCAATGTTAAATGCGATAACTAACATATAAAAAGCAAAACTTTATTGAATCATATACTTACAATACACGAAAAAGTTTACTCTTTGGCAAGACGGAAAGTATTATTATCCCAGTTAACAATCGGCGAGACTTTCAAACATCGCATCGCATTCACACCCAAAATGTTGACGTGTTCAAAATCAGTACCAACTTTGGAGACTTCACAATCAAAGCAGCTGTTTTGGTCCTAAATATTTCAAAAGCATTGATTATTTTAAACAAAAGTAAAACGAACCTGGATTGCCATCGGGTAGTAAAGACTCTCCGACACATTTCCTGCACCAAAGAAGGCTTCCAATGTCTTAACAGTGAGGCAAGTAAACGGAGAGCCAGTACCGAGCAGACACCACACGTTGATGGCTTTGAAATTGTCCTCTGAAAGTCTTTTCAGTCGAAAAACTAGCGGGACCATGAAGCGCGAGTTTGGACCATATATTACGCCCTTGACTGGGAACGCGGGAGTCGTGAATGTTCCAGCACTCAAATGCTCGATTCCTTCTGCTGCGCCAATCTATAATTACAAAGTTTAGAAATATTCCTAAAAGAAAAGCATACCTCCTTTAACGCTTCTTCATTTATGTCCTTGAGCATGATATCAAACTCCTTATATCGCAAAAATCTATCATATGGATCTTTCCAACTCGAATATAAAGAAGGCTAAAATTAAATGAATTCAGCATGCAAGCAGTGAAAAAACTGTTTACCTTGTTGTGATCGCTCATGTTCGTTTGTTGAGAAGTAATCTAAAAATCAGTGAATGTATAAAAGGAAAAATGCATATATATGAAAAGAAAACAAGAATATGAGAATTAGCACGGGGGTGGGACAAATGCGACCTTTTTTGCGCACCTGGACACTTGCGCACCTTATTTTGCTGGAAAGGCCTTAGGAAAGGTCGTAGAGCTTCGAAAATGTTTCCGTACTAGGGAATCGTATGCGTAGATTCCGAATTTCGACAAATCAAAGCAAATCAGACCTCGCTGACACGTTAAATTTGACCTAAAAGGCAAAAACTACGCAACTTAACGCTTTTACGCCGTTTTTGCCTTTTAGCCCAAATTTGACGTGTCAGCGAGGTGTGATTTGTCGAAATTCGGAATCTACGCATACGATTCCCTTCTACGAAAACATTTTTCAAGCTCTACGACCTTTCCTAAGGCATTTTCCAGCAAAAAAAGGTCGCATTTGTCCCACCCCCATTAGCACTGAAAGAAAAAAGCTGCATGTATGAAGTTTTATTTATGTTTGGCGAAACGTTCTAAATCGTTGTGGGATCAGCGACGTTTTGAATGTGGTTATGTTGGAAATCAAATTTAGATTTTAAGTAAAGAAAGAAACTTTGAAATACAAAATCAAATGAAAAGATTATCCCACAAAATTATTAATTAAATGATTCAGAAATAATTCGAATTATCAGAAACGCTTAAGTGGGAGTGGATGTGGTTTTGGAATTGTCCTAGGACATTCATTCAAAATTATGGGAAGTGGGACAAATGCGACCTTTTTTGCGCACCCGGACCATTAGCGCACCTTTTTTTCGCGTTTTAGAAAAGCTCTAAAAGCTAATATTAACCAATTTCTATTCCAAAAGTTATTTTTCTAGGTAACTTTAGGGCGTAGAATCGAAATATTGGCATATCAGAGCTTGTGGAAGCGAACGGACGGAGTTATACAAAGAGAAAAATCAACAATTTTCTGTAATTTGACCTACCCGTTTTGTCTTTCAAATTGGTTCCACACGCTCTCTTATATCAAAATTTGAATTCTACACCCTCAAATTACCTAGAAAAACAAGTTTTGGAATAGAAATTGGTTAATATTAGCTTTTTAGAGCTTTTTTAAAACGCGAAAAAAGGTGCGCTGATGGGCCAGGCGCGCAAAAAAAAAGGTCGCATTTGTCCCACTCCCCATTTTTGATAAAAATATGAGGGTGGGACAAATGCGACCTTTTTTTTGCGCACCTGGACATTTGCGCACCTTTTTTTTTGGAAAAGGCCTTAGGAAAGGTCGTAGAGCTTCAAAAATGTTTTCACAGAAGGGAATCGTATGCGTAGATTCCGAATTTCGACAAATCAGACCTCGCTGACACGTCAAATTTGGGCTAAAAGGCAAAAACTACGCAACTTAACGCTTTTCCGCAGTTTTTGCCTTTTAGCCCAAATTTGACGTGTCAGCGAGGTCTGATTTGTCGAAATTCGGAATCTACGCATACGATTCCCTTATATGGAAAAATTTTCGAAATATTTTCGAAGCTCTACGGTCTTTCCTAAGGCCTTTTCCAGCAAAAAAAAGGTCGCATTTGTCCCACCCCCAAAAATATAGGGTTTTTTTATTAATTTATACCCTATTTTTTGATGTGCAGAATCGGGGGTGGTGGGGGGGAAAATCGGTTGTCCTAGGTACGCCTATTATATACTACTCTGTTGGAATCGGAAATTTGTGTTTTGATGTTTCAAAGATATAGGTTTAAATCTAGTTTCAAATATGATACGTCAAGAATCTTTTCAATATCGCGAATGAGTCGGCTTTTCTCACAACTGCTGCCCTTTCATGTGCTATTTTCATTGATCGAAACAATAATATTTATGGAAAATAAAACTCGATTAAAGAGAACGAATAAAGATCTTCACATCACAATTTTAACTGAGGACTTGAAGTCAGTTGTACGATAAAAACCACAAAGTACCTGTAATACTGGATAAATAAGAGCAGATATTTATATCTAACAATACATAAGAGAGCAAGAGGTATTTAAGTTGAATCGTTGCCCCGATAGGTCATCGTTGCATTTCTGCCCCTTCCACGCCTTCCCAGTCCTCCTCTCTTTGATTTGATCTTTGCTCGTGAAGCCCCTTCATCGTCTGTTGCTAATTCATCACTTCCCTAAAGAAGCAATTATCATATGTATTCTCTGGCGTATCTTATTTATAACTTAAGCTTTATTAATCGTGAAATATGTTATTGGATATAAAAGGTACCAGGTTGAAGACCTGATCCGATGAATTTGCCTCGTCTTCATCGCCAGAGTCTTTGCTGGTAATGCTTGCCCTATGCTTTTCCTAAAAATGTTTTTTGAAATCATCACCCGAAAGACAAACCTGCTGCCGCTTTGATCGACGAAGTGGAGTTGTCTTCGTTTCCGGCGCTTTCTGAGGCCTCCTGCTGACAAAACTCTAAAATATAATTTTAAATGAAAGTAAACAAATACAAACTCTTTGTGTTTCTTCGTGCTTTTCTTTTGGAATATATTCCTCCCAATCCTCGTCCTCGTCCAATTCTTCTACTTCGACAACCCTAGCCGAATAGACGGCTTGAGGCTAAAATGCTTTTAAATGCCATACTAGTATACCAAGTTTACTTAAAGTACCTGTTCAAAAGTTCCTTCAACGCTCAGCGATCGAATTACTTGCCGATGCATGTGAGTTGGCACTTGTGAAACCAATTGAGCGACGGGATTCCCGATGATTGACGTGGAAACGGAAGAAGTTGAGCCTTTGGCCGCCATCGACGTAAGTGCTGTCGTCATGGCTTCCAAAATTAAATTCTTAGTTTTTTATTCTTAATTAAAATTTAAAAATCTTAGCTACAATTAAAAAAGAGCAAACTCACTTGTGAAGAGACTACCCGCCGCCCTGAATGCCAGTCGTCCAGTGCTGCTCATAGCTTCATCTATTTGTTTCTCGTGTTTTTTCAAGAAAGGGTAGACCACCTAAATATAAACTATCTTAGAAACATTGCAAAAATAACCTTATCGTAGACAAAATGAGCCCCGCCTGTAGATGTCCAAAGCAAGAAAGCTAACTTTATAATCTAAATGAGAAATAAAGAGTACGGAACAAACAATTACTTCGTATCCAGGGACGAGAGACGTAATGTAGAAGAGGTCAGCAATCGCTTCAATTGAAGATACACACGCAAAGATTGTCCAGTATTTGGTGTAGAATTTCTAAATTTGTCCAGTATTTGGTGTAGAATTTCTAAATTTGTCCAGCATTTGCTGTAAATTTTTGAATTATAAAGACTTGAATTTAAAATGGCTTTGCCTATTCATTTGAGTGCTTCGAGGGTAGAGGGTCGCTTAGAACTCCAAAGAGCAAAAAAGATACTTATTGTTACTGAATTAAAATCAAGCTAGATCACTTTGAAAGCTATAAGCCCAAATCATACCTGCACTGGCCCATCTCGCCGTTTCGCCGCTTTGTAGGTGTTGAAGCAGGGAAAGAGCGTGCCGACGATTATCGACCCCACTTTGCAGAAAAACGAGAAGACCATCCTGAATCAGACAACTTGTAAATAGAAATAGAATGAAATGGAAAGAAATTCAGGCAAAACTAATTCAAATACAGTCATTCAAATACAGATTCAAATACAACCTCAATTTAACGACGTCAATTTTTGGTCCCTTGAAAGCATCTTATAAATACGTTCGATTTAACGATGGAGAATCTCGGTCCCTTGAGAATCGTCAAATCAAGGTTTGACTGTAATGTGAGGTTTTAGTGTACTAGATATGCATTCAGGATCTTAATGCTCAATTGTCGGGGGTTTGGCATTTTGAACCGCTAAACTTATCAGCTCCATAAAAAAGTTGCCCGCGCAATTGAACTTTTAAAAAGATTCTCCAACTTTCAACTTTCGCAAATCAGCTTTCAAGATTTTTGAAAGTTAAGTGGAGAGATCTATTACGACATGAATTGTGTCGTCATTTGTATTGTTGCATTTCCGGTGTTTCGTTTTGATTTCATGTTTTGTCAGCAAAACATTGCCATTTTTTTTAGAGTTTTTGAAGTCTTTCTTCTCTGTCAAGCTTCTATGCCAATTTGCAATTTTAGGTGAGATGACTTCACTCACTGTGGTGTGCCCGAATGCGAGACGATGCCCGATCAAGGTCACTCCCGGAAAACTGTTACGTGAGGTTGGTTAGTTTTTTTGGGAAATTTTGCCTTTTTTTTCAATTTTTTATTTGCTAAAGCCTAAATTCTGACACTTGGCGGCTCTTTACAAATGCTTTTGTTTTAGGTTCTTGAAGAGGCTTGTCTCAAGCAGGGCTACAATCCAGAGCAATTCGAGCTCATCCATCAGAAGAAGAGAATCGACTTGTCGCTACCGTTTCGGCTCACTGGACTTCCCAACAATGCTGCCGTTGATCTCCGAGAAAAGGATAACATCCAAGAAACCATAGTGGAAATTGCTCTACAGGTAGTCAGTTGTTGAATTTGCAACCTTATGTTTTTAGGGACTTGATGGCAATCGAAAAATTGGCAAATTCTCTCTAGATGCGACTCTGGCGGATATGCTACTCTACTTTTCGAAGGAATTTGAAGACGATCTGCTCAAGTTTGACGAGACTCTTCATCCATCTTGTGCTTTTATGAATAAACAGGTTGGAAAAATATTCTTTGTATTAATTGATTTGATTTAGTATCAAGGAAGGAAAGAACTTGAGTGCACGACACTTCGATCGATGGGACTGGGAAGTGGGAAGGTTCTCATCAGGTAATTAGACAAAATTCTAAGCAAGATTCGAATAAGTTTTAGGTTTAACAGAATTCCTATGTCAGCTATGGAGGTTGCACAAACTGAAGAAAGGATCGAACAAGGTAAACAATTTCTTAACTTCTTAACTTCGAGGATTTAGAACGTCGTAAAAAAGAGGCCTTGGCAGCTGAATTTCAGAAGAAACGAGCGGAAAACGAGGAACGGGAAAAGATCGAGAGGGAGAGAATGCAGGTTTGATTCAAGATTCTTGAAAGTTGGATTCGGCTAAAAAGCTTTATGGTTTTTAGAAGTTTGAAGAAGAGCAACGGTTTCTTGAAGAGGAAAAGGTGAAACGAGAAATTGAGGCTGCTAAACAAAAAGCAGAGAACGATGCTAAGAAAAGAGCAGAAAATGCTGCCAGGTTGGAATTACATATTATCCAATGACCGTGTTTTAGTTCTCAACCAACCCCGAGCGTGTCAAGGGATGTTATTTCAAATTCCAGCGAATCCAAATTCTTGGTCATTTGACCGGTAATTTTAAGTATTTGGTGGTATCACCTATTTTGTTTAGACATCCTTTCCAAGCAGCAATATCATCTGGACCAGCAAACGATCGCCTCACGTATTTAAACAGCCTTCTCAATAACGTGATTCTTTTATTTTTAAAACTGAAATATAATAATTACGCTTAGGTCGATGCATCACTTGCCGGACAAACTTCAAACGATCAGGTGAATAACCTTGTGGAACAATTGGCTTCGGAAGGAAGACTTCATGATCAACAAAATATGTCGGAACAATACCCATTGATGAATTTTAAAGTTGTTTTTTTAAAATGTTTTTGATAACTTGAAATTTAGTTCCCTGAAAAAACAACCGCAATTGAGGATGCAGATATGGACGACCAATCCACTTCAATGACCGCCCAAACCGGCCAAGATATCGAAGCACCTGATCGTCAAAGTGTTTTGTTCACTAAAAAGTATTTTATTTTTTTATTATGCCAACTATTTATCTGCATTCAGGGAATACAATAAAGCTGTTCCGGAAAAACCAGAAGAATCAATGGAAATTGACGAGAAATTTTTCGAAGTTAACCTGGAGGATGTGCGCAATATGCAAAGGGCTTTGAGTGATCAAGTGTCAGTCTTATTATCAAATTTGTTAACTTTTGCATTTTCAGGAAACAGGAGCAACAACGTGCCCTTCTTCCAAAGGCATACATCGAGACGAAAAACCGAGAATTGAAGCTGACTTCTTGGAAAAACACTGTGATAAGAGCTGTGTTGCCAGATCGTCGAGTTCTTCAAGCACGTTTTTATACAAGAGAATCAGGTTTGACTAACAAATATTTTTTACTTCTATATTTTTAGCTGTTAGAGTTGTGGAATGGATTTCGTCGTTGCTTAAAAATGAAAAGCAAAATTTCTCGATATCGCTGGCTTTACATTGTCCTTACGATGCAAGTCCTGAGAAAACACTTATTGATGTGGGAGTCGCTCCATCATCGACAATTTATGTGAAATTTTCACCTCCAATGGCTGCTTGTGGTAATGAATTAGTTTTATTTTTTCAAATGATCACTTGTAGAAGACATTTTCAAAGTTGATTCGGTAAAGGAAGTGATGGAAGAAGAAGCGAATCAATCGAGCAAAGAATGGTGAGCTTTCGATGGTTTTTTAAGAGGTTTTGGGTTTCATTAAGCTTTGTTTTGTCAGGTTGTCAACAAATGAAGCCTACAAGCCGTGGGTGGGAACTGTTGGTCCAGAGGCTCCTCGTCCAATGGTGCGAAGACCTGATGAAAATCAAGATGCTGGTCCATCTGTGAAACGTGAGCCACCCGTGCTCCCAAAATGGCTCAAGCGATAGCCATTTTTATGTGAGTATTGTTACTCGGGATTCTCTAATCATGTTTTCCTGTATTTTTGTGTTTTAAGCATTGTGATTCTGGTTTAGCGATACGGTGTTTTCTCCATTGTCAGATAAAGCTTTTTATTTAAAAACGACCAACGTACACTTACTCCTTTCAACTTTCAACCAACTACCCTACAGAGAATTCAAAAGGTGCACTCGAATCGGAAAGCGAATTGGAGAAAAGGAGATTGAAACACGTAATCGGCTGACCCAGATTGACGAAAAAGCGAAAGAGCGAGCGGCCATGGATGGATGGCTGACACACGCTTTCACCGATCGCACTTTCACTGCTTGCCCTTTCGTTCGATCGACCCTCGTGCACCTGAATCCCAATTAATGGCCTACTGGTACTTGTGAAATTCTGAGGAAGCTCCAGTAAATCATAAGGTTACTGTGGAATTACTGTAGAAACAAAGGTTATTCTAACAAGAGGAATAACCCTGGTATAGACAGGGTTCCTAAAGTATGGACAAAGGTAGACAAAAACCATGGCTAGCAAATTGACAGTTAAAGATTTGAACAATGACTTACTTTGACTTCAGATGATAAATGTGCTGACAGTGAACTGGCTGGCTTAACCGAAAAATGGCTCTTGTAACAACCATTGTAAGTAAATACTAAAAGTGAGAGTCTAGCTTGTTGTGAAAGTTCCAAAGAGCATTTGGAGACCGTAGTTCCTTTATAGAAACACAATTGAAAACCGTTGGAAATAGTCTGAAATAGTCAGTTTTCTGACATTCCACCAATCACTCTGTAATTGTGTAATCATCTCAAAAACCACAAAATTCACTTTCGAGCAAGAGAAAGTGAGTGCTGGACTTTCTCCTCCTCTTTTTCTCCTTTTGTGCATTTCATTTGATGGGGCGAAAGTGGGGAATTGGGACAGCGAAAGCGCGGCGTGCATGCCCACTCCTCCATCCCCATTCTCCATTCCTTTTCACCCACTTTCACCCAACGAATTTCCCTTTTTACTCATTCTAAACCCAGGTCGTTTTCGGACCTATTTGCAATCTTATTCACCTTTAAAACTCACCTTTAAAACTCACTTTTTTACTTAAATCAATTGATGAGCAATTTTGGTTCTAAAGGGAGTCATTCTGAGGTCAGTTCATCATCAAGATAGTGTAGTTCTGACAATTTGAAACCTTTAAAGCTCCTTTAAGCCTTTAAAGCTCAAGAACCAGCTAGTTTGCATTAGCTAACATACCAAACATTCTTCGCCTCAAAACCAATCCGATTTCAGGATCCAATGTTTCCATTCAACCCCCGTTATGGCATCCCCTCAATGACCTCAACTTCTCCCCTGCAATTCCCCCTTCTTTCCTCTTCACACCATCTGACCAATCCATTCCCAAATATGCCACCAATGTTGCTGAAATCTCGAGAAAGTTTCCTGTTCAATAGCCAACCCGATCACCTTCGACCGCTTTCCATCATTGCACCACCCAGTGGATCTTGTATTCAGGTAAAACTAATAATAAGCTGATTAGACTGACTAAAAGATGCTCTCGAGAACAACCAACCGTTTTCCTACCGTTTTTTAGCAAAAAGTAAAGTTTCCAGAGTTGCAGCAGCTCATCGCTTGGCTCTCTTTTGATACCGAAGGAACTCAACAACAATAGCAATCAAGAAAAGGTGAATTCACGAATCAGAATCAAAATCCACTTACAACTGAATTTAGTCCGGTTCCGAGACTCCGTCTTCCGCTTTTTCCTCTTTATCCAATCCATCGTCGAGCAATGAGGGTTCCGAAGCATCAGCCTCACCGAATCGAGTCATCGTTCGAAGTTCGGCTCCGAAAAAGCGAAAGGAAGTGGTCAAGGTGGGAAATGGGGGATTTGCATAAAACTAGAAAGTGTATAAATCTATCTAGCATCATTTGATCATTTCCAGGACGAGTCCTACTGGGAGAAGCGCAAGAAAAACAACGATGCCGCAAAGCGAAGTCGAGATCAACGAAGGATAAAGGTTTGTGAAAAAGTTTCTAGGGTTTTTCAAAAAGCTCATCATATTGGCTGTACATTTTCGGTCTAATTGTCAATATGTGTCGACGGGAAACGAGATTTGACTGTTGAAGTGGTCAAAGAAACTCGTTTGCTCGTCCACCTATTGATAAACGAACCGAAATTGAACAGCTCTACTAGATAAAGTAGATAAATCTAATTGTAAGTTTGAAGATAAACATTAAAAAATGTTAGTTTTATTCATTTGGAATATCAAGAACAAACAGAACAAGAAATAATTCAGGAAGACAAAGTGGCAAGTCGGGCGACGAGTTTGGAGAGAGAAAACGCGATGTTACGAATCGAATTGGAGAGACTTCGAGCCGAGACACGCATCTTGAATAGAATATTGCACAATCCTGCACAGGTAGATTGAAAGTACAGTAAACGGGATTGTCAATCGAACACTTTTTGCTTCAAACACTTGTGAGAATTAGAGTGTGTTCCACGCGATTAATCGACTAAAGTTCGACCGTTAAAGTGGATCGATTAATCGGCAATTAATGCACTTTTTAAAACGCATTCATTTTAATTTTAATACTGTACCTATTCAGCCCCATTCAGCCAAATTTCAGAGTACCGATCAACCGATTGGAAAGCTTTCTTTCATGCCAGCATCTACGACAAATCAAATGCAATTTCCTGGAAATAATTCAGTGATCACTTGTAGAGATACAGTCCTTGTGCATGCAAGTCTTCTGTAAATATGTTGAAACCGTTTTTCATTGAACTGTTTTCTTCTTAATAAATCGTTTTTTAAAAAATGCTTTGGAAAAAAAGCTATCGTAATCCTATGCTATCGATAGCTACTTGTGCAATGCGTGAGAGAGTATCGCTGGGGCAATAATTATTAGATATTTATTCCGAATCTAGCGAGAAAATATAAAAGAATAGAATCAATCGTTGGTTCAGTGTTTCATAGCAATACGAAAAGCAATACGAAGAGACAAAACAAAGTGGGCTCCGTCCCTTTTATCATAAAAACGATCTTTTAGAGGCGGGACAAGAGAATCAGATACTCAAATCAAAACATTAAATAAGATTTCACAGAAAAGAGCCACTTTTCTGCACACTACTGTAAAGTTTTTAGAAAACTCTTGAACTAAAAGGAACACAGTCCCAATCATTGACTCATCTCCAAGATAAATTGTTTCTTCTCACATTTCAAAATCGCACCATCAACAAGAAAAGAAAAAAAGAAAACCTGATTCGCCGGAAAGATACAGAAAAAGGGGATGAGAAGACAGCTGTTTTGTTCCAATGATAAACTCTCCAGGAATTTGTATGGAAAAGAAATGAAAAGACAAAAAGATCGTGGTGATGGGGAAGAAATCAAATCCACCAAAAAGCCCAATCAAAGTCCCTCAAACGATTGATCGGACTCACTCACACAATCAAAAATCGCAATGACAAAATTTTTCTGTTGAAAGTTCGATTATTTATCAAAATTGAGTTATTTATTTATCTTTCTATTTTCTATTCATTGAATCAAAGTTTCAAAGCTCAATCCTCCAAACATCTTTCAGAATGAGAACTTGTTCACTGATCATTTTGGCTATTCTAATTTGTTGTGCTTTCTCGTGTCGTTACAAAGGGAACAGCTATGTGAACAATGAGACTTGGGTAAACATTTTTACTTGAAAAAGATTATCGAATCCAGGAGGAAAAGGGAGCGTTCAAAATGAAGTGCGTAATCGAATCAAATGGCTCGTGGAGGACAGAAGTGATCGGATGTTTGACCCCAGATGGAGTTGATGTGAGTAGTCTATCCGCTTTTTTATCTTTTAATATTTTTTGAAAGCTACAAGAAAGAATAAGACAAAGTAGATTCATTGGATAAAAGCTATGGACTACGGTAATTTGTCTAGGGGAAGCACTTAGCACTCCATAAGCAATAACTGCATTTCTTTAGGTTCCTGTGAATGGTCGAAAAGCTGTTGGAGATCACGAATGGGCTTGCGAGGTGAGTAAATGGCAAAAAATTTTTGTAAAAGACACGTCTCAGCAAACCGCCGATGGGCACATTTCGTTGAAACAAGAAATGGGCAAAAATGCCGATTGTCCTGGTGGACGAAAGAGAGGTGATTTCAAATGAAAAAGCCTCAAAAACGATGTTTAGGTTCGACTTGGATCGATAAGTCTTTCGAATTTCTTTGCGAAGAGGGCGGAATGCCAAAATTCGTTGGTTGCATCACGAACACCGGAATCCGAATCGCTAATGGAGAGACAAAGGAGGTAAAGCGGGGTCTAAAAGGTGGGGAAAAGCTACCGTACCCTGGCTTGAGGTGAGCCTGGAAAAGTAGTCTTGTTGAGACTTGCGCTAGCATCAAAAGGGCATCAGGATTACGGTAGGAGCACCTTCGTAAACGCATGCTTAAGCGCTATACAGTATTTACTCGAAATTGTTCAAATGCACAATTTGCAGCTAGCCGGAGGGATTCTTGTCGAATGCAAGCAATATCCAAATGGTACAATTACTTTGAATGGTATTGGGAAGAAAGCGAACGCTGATTGCACGGATTCCGAGGGCGGAAAACACAAATTTGGTAGGCGAAAGATAGAAAACACTTTGAGATTCGATGGATTTCAGGTGAGAAATGGATTCAACGAAAGCACTTCCAATTCACTTGCAAATCCCACGGTGAAACACAAATGATCGGTTGTGTGATTCCAGAAGTGAGTGGCACTGTCTTTTTAGATCTTTTCTTGGAGAACAAATGAAAATTTAGGGCCAAGTCATTCCGTTGAACTCGAAATTGACCGTCGGTTTGATGGAATATCAGTGAGTCCCTTTGCTTTCATAAATAGGCAAAACTTTCCAAATGGAATCTTTTTTTTCAGCTGTGAGGTCAATGGTGGATCACTGAAATTCTACGGAAAGCCAAAAGACCAAAATTGAGATAAACATTAGAATATAATTGCTCGGAATGCATTTCATTGTAAACTTTACATTGTTTCTTGAATTATCCAAGTCACCAGCACAAAATTTATAAGTAAATGTGATAAGCACTCCAATTGTTTGTATAAGCAAATGTTAAACCCCAAAATATTTATTCAGCTCCCAGAAAGAAATTTATTGATAGGTGGAGTAGTGGAGAAGGCGCATAAGTTGGCAATGGTGTGAAGCATTCAGCAGTCAGCGGCCAAGCGACGCTTCTTCTAAAAAACCTGATAACATAACAAAGATACAAACAAATGTGAAACTAACCTCAGACTTTGGCGCGGATTTTGGTGACTTGGCTTTGATGTTCTTGCGGGAACGAGAACGAGAACGGGCGGCACGGCTAGTTGAGGCCTAAAATAAAAAAGTGAAGCTAATAAAAAGAAACAATTGAAAGTGTCAACGCACCGATCTGGAGCGTCCACGACCGGAACCAGCACTCTTCAAGGCACGACCAGCTCGTTGACCCGAGGTCTAAACAAAAAAGTTAGGCGAATGAAAACTAAGTAACTCACCGAGCGTCCGCGCTTTGCCACACGCTTCTTGTTGGAACGGGAGGCGCCCGATGCGGAGCGACCACGAGTTGAACGCGAACGAGAGCGAGAACGTGATGCGTGACCGGCGCGCTTGCCCTTGGAACGGCTACGCTTGGTGGAACGAGAAGAACCAAAATATGGCTGGATCAGACGCGCAACATTTGGGCGAAGGCTGTGGGGGACGAGAGGAGAAGATCCACCCGATGCAGCCGTCATCACTGAAGCCGAACGAGAGCTTTGACCACCGGCGGAGGATGGAGAGGTTGCAGAAAAATCCGAGAGACTTCCGGAACTCTAAGTTGCAAGATTAAGTGAAAAAAAGCGCAATGCGTACCTGAGATCCCGAAGGGCTTGAGGGCATTTGGTTGACCGCAGCAGAAGGAAGCGATTTCTAAGCAAACAATTTAAATAGCAAACCAAAAAATGTTACTGAACAAGAAAAGGAAAACACACCTTGTCCACGCGACGTTGACGTCCCTTCTCATCAATACGGCGAGCTCGAAGGGCTTCGCGAAGGGCTTGATGATGAGGCTTGGGAAGGTAATTGAAGATCGAAGCTCTTGGGGCAGCTGGAGTGCGCGAACGACCCGAACGAGAACGAATGGAGCCGGCACTTGACACGGAAGAAGGCCTTGAGCGAGCAGCACGACCACGAGAGCGAACAGAAGCCACCTCTGAACGATGAAAGATTAAATGAAGTGCAAACTTATAGGAAGATTAGATTCATAGACTATATACAATACTTTAAAAAGTAACTTAAGAAACATGTTAACTAAAAGCATAACAACTCGAATTAAAATAAATCAAAGTAAACAAAATAAAGAAAGAACAAAAAAACCCACTCTTGGTTGAAGCCATTGCAGTTGATCGGGCGAGAAGATCAAGATGATTTTTCCCAACATTGCGTTTTCTTTTATTTGACGGTTAAATTCAAATTTGAGAATATGCAAAATCCCAAAAATGACGGTTAAATCCAAATTTGAAAATGAAAATTTGAAAAAATTCAAATTTTAAATGAAGAATAGACCGTACCGCACATTCGGTGTTTGCTAAAGTGCGCCCTTTTGCACTTTTTATTTTTCATTTGCGCAGTTTCTTCCCTGCATGTGTTCAAACCTCGCTTTTTAGCCGTTACATTAATCCCCATCCATTTGTATTTCGTATTTTTTTACAGATAAAATCACTAGGAATTTTTATCTTGTATCGCATTGAAAGTTTTCATTTTTTTTGGTTTTTGAGGCTACAAAACCCTGAAGTAACCCGAGCTTTTTTTATACTCTTTTATTTTTCTAAATTCTAACCAAAAATCTATTCTAGTATCGTACTTTTTCTTTTGCTCATTTTTGATGTTACTATTACTATTTTTTCCATTTTAGATGGCGATGTTTGAAGAAGAAGAGGAAATCCTTGATTCGATCGCCTCGGATGGTGAACATGGCGCTTCATTGTGTGACAAGATTCTGGATGATAACCTGGAGTTGGATGGGTTTGAAGAGGAAATCTCATCAACTGGCATTGTTGAACTGGAAACTTCGACTTCACAGGTAAATCCATTTAATCGTATTTGCCTCATGCTGTACGGAAATCGGGTGTGGCAACGTGATAGTTTTTGTTTAAAGAACTCTTCTTAAGATTTCAACTTCTGGAATTGAGACGGCGACAAAAACGTTTAGTGATGACAAAGTCGAGGTTTTGTTAATATAATTTCATGAAAGTACGTTCATATAGGGATCAAAGTTGAACGAACTGTTTGAAGTGGCCCTTGAACAAGGAAAGGCTGAAGATCCCACAGGCTCTACTCAAAAGGTTGGTGGTATAGCTCAAAAATTAATCGATAAACTTTTTTAGAAGCTCTTTGCATTTCCTCGAATGCCACGTCCAGTCAAAGTCAATCCACCATTTGAACCCTTTGAAAATCGTTCACGCGAAGTGGTACTTTTTTGGCTTTTTATAACAAATAGTAAAGCCATTTTTTTAGAAAGTCGAGGACCCAAACTTGGTTAGTGATTCTTTTGGCCGAATTGTGGAAAAGAAGTACAGTCGTTGTCATTGGTAAGAAAAAAAGATAGCTTTCTTTTGACTTTGTTTGCTTTGGGTACGCAAAAAACACAGGCAATTTTGGAGCCAACTTTTTGGTAATGGCAGGAGATCGTATTGACACAGGATCCCGATCACACAGAGTTTTCTCAGTGGCAGATAAGATGAAGATGCTGGTGGCAAAAGTCGGTTGTTTTGTTGCTATATGCTTTTAACTATATATGGTTCAGTTCACAAAAGGAGCCGGGGAAGAAATATTTCCAATGAATAAACAAACCCCGTCTAAATCAGGATGGAACTATGGGCAACCACCACCATCAGAGCCAGCTGATTGGATTGTTCAAGTGATCGTTATTTTGTAAATTTATTTAAGATAAACGACTTTAGTGGGCACCTGAAAAGCTTGAGACCTTGGAGACTCTAGATATCCAGAAGAACATTTGTGCGGCACTCAATTCTCGTCTCAAAATGCGTTGGCTGATTGGCGTCGAGCGGGGCTTGGTAATACTGTTTTGCTGTATCTACTGACTTTAATTTTAGGTTAAAGGTTGTTTGATGGATCGACTGGATCGCGATCTTATCGGAAATGTTTGTCTGAATAATGTTTTCTTAACAACTGTCCCTTTTAGGCCTTCTCTTATGCTGTGACCCGTGAATTCGTACCTGATTTAGATTTGGATCTGATTTCACTCAAGTTCGCTCATATTTATTTTTAAAAATTGTTGTGGATTAGATTCCACATTGTATCAGACGGCGAGGAAACATTTGACGATGAAGGCAAATTCAAGGCTATCATCGAGATTGCGGTCACTTCAAAGACAAATTCAGTGAGTTGATTGGCTAAGATTCTATCTGTTTGAAATTAGATCTATCAACTTTCTTCGGGACGCTGCTTCTATTTGCACGGAGGAATCGTTTGCTGCGAAAACATTGAAAAGGTTTCCAATCATGCATCTTTTTAACTGATTAACTACAGTTCCGAAAAATCTGGCAAGACGCGGCAATCAATCGAGAAAATACTGAAAGTACTTCGACTACGAAAGCTTCAACGTCTGGGTTAGTAATACGAACAATAAGTTAGCGAGCTGTTGCTTTTAGAACAATTTTAACTTTGCTAGCGGGCCTTGTTGGTGGATTCGTCGCGGCCAAGTATTTGATTCAAAAGAAAATCGTTTCCTAGAGATTTGCAATTTTGTTACCTTGTTGTTGTTACTTTGATTTATTTACATAAATTGTTAAGGTCGAGGGATGTATGCTAAATTTATTAGCACGTATTAACAACAACAAATAAAAATAAATTTTTATGTAACTCGTATTAACAATGACAAAAGCCTGTGATCAGAATTTCAACGTTAGATAGCGTTTCACTTTTTGCTCTTTTTGTTTCGGTATGATGCATTTCGTCTGATTCTCTTTTGCGTTTCTAGTCAAATTTGTAATCTGCCTTTCACTCATTTTCTTTCCAATATTATCATTGAAAGCAATCACAAGTTCGACCAGATTTAGCAAATTCTTCAAGCTTTCGGTTACTTTATCCACGTTTTTCTTGATATCCTCTACTTTTTAATCGACAAGCACCATACAAATGTGTGCACTAACCTTGTCAACCCAACCAAGGACTCTTGATGACTCCGTGAGGCAATACGTCAAGAACCACACTAGTGGGGATATGATGAATGATGAAGCTAAGATTCTTCTTGTTTCTTCCTTGGCCAAGTTGATGGTGTTGGCAGGCGGACTCGACTAGCCCCCAGTTTTGGAGTAAGGTTTCATTCTTTTGTTTCCACCCGTTTTCAAAGCTATGAAAAATCCCTCTTTTCTCTCTTTTCATAGTTCTATTCCGCTTTATCATCGCGGAGCGGTTTTCCGACTTCACTCCGATCGACGGCGCACCGAGCTTGTTTATTTAATTGTTTAAAAACAATAGTTTTATCGTTTGCAACGCAAAACGAATTAAAAAATCACAAAATAACAATTAATAAACGATTTCAAGAGAAATTTTGGCCAAGTCATTTTAACTTTTGCTCCTGCCGTACTGCCAATCTTCCTCAACATCACTAACATCCGACTCGTTAAACATTCTGATAAGTGCCGCGTGGTACTTCTAAAGATTTTTAATTAATGATTATATAATCCTTCAAACCTTTCCATATAGTTCGGAGTTATTCTTTTCCTGGAAGAGCGGTAATAATCTGTCGTCTTCTACCTAAAAAAATGAATTTTTACAAACAAAAACTTAAGTTTACATATTTCTTAAACTTGTATGGTGGAATCCAATTTGGATTTTTCTTCTTGATGATAAAACGTATCTAAAACTTTGCAATAAGTTTTAACAAGTCATACTGTACCGTCTCCTCAACGAGCACATTACGAATCAAATTACGAGATTTTGCTCGTTCACAAGCATTGGCCATTATTCGCAACACGTCTAAAGCGTTTTATAAAAATAGGTTGATATAAAACTCATTATACCATGTGCCATTAAATGCATTTTGAGTCGTCCTCCAATGTAATGCTGGAATCGCATGAATGCGATGGTTAGCTAGTTGTTAAATGTAAAGGGAACAAAATATAAGTGCTACCTTACGCCACAAAAATGAAAGCTCGTCGGAGAAAACATGACATTTAAATCCCGTTACGTCAGCATCGAGGCATCTAAAAACAACCATAAAATAATACTTGGGTAGCAAATAATTCTATATTTTATTTATTAACTAAGCTGAACAACAAAACATACTTTTGCGCCAACTCCGAAAAATCTATTCCCGTATTTCGTCTCGGCAAAACTGGTGTATCATTGGGTAGCATTTTCTGCACAATGCGCATAAATTGAGCCAGCTGCACCACCGTGAGACGTGGCGCACTTGTTTCAATAATCTAAATGGCAAATGAACAAAGAAGTTCGGAAGGTAAAAACCTTATCAAACGCATCATCTAAAAGCATTCCCTGTTCAACCTCAGCGGAAACCATTTTACACATTTTCTTCCTAAATTCGATAAATTTATTAATGGCATGTGAATTTTCAAGTCAATAAAGCGTACCATGTTTTTCGAAGCACCTTTTCCGCGTGCCTCGTTCTCCTAACAATTTCGTCCCAATCCTAAAAAACGCTAGAATTTTCTATTTCATAAAAAACCTGGGGTTTTATTGTCCTGTTTATAAAAACATCTTCGAAAAACTGTGTGCTTGTTGCTTCCCATTTTTCATTGTTAAGAATTCGAACTAAACAAAAATAGTAGTAACTTGTTGGAAAATAAAAATTACCCCAAAGTCCCTTCCATTTATCTTGAGGCAACGCGTCGTTTTTTGTTTGTTCTCTTAATAAAAAAAGAAAATACGAAACAAGGTCTTACGGTATATACCGCTGTAATAGCGACTGGCATCTTCTACACAGCACTTTTTGTGGACGTTTCATTTCGGCAGCTATAAGTCTCCAGTTTCCTGAAAATTTCCAGAAAATTTTTGCAAGAATTTTAAAAAATGACCACCTTCATGAGTCTTGTAAAGTTCAAGTAACCTTTGATCATCTTCGGCTGTAAAGTGTTTCAGACTAAACACTACTGTTTACTGTTTAGAGCAATCAACATACTCGTATTTCCCTTTAATTGTATTCCAGCCTTCCGGATCAAAAAGGTATTCCATTCTTGAGTACACTTGTTTCGCACTTCGATTTATTAAACCATGACCTAAAATTAATTACCGTATTGATGTACATAAACAACGATTTAATCTCACTTGGGAAATCAGACAAAGAACTCACACATAGCCGGCCAAAAGGGAATGTTTCTCGTTTTCTCGAGATGTTCACGTCCTTTATGTTCCGTCACCGCTCCTTTCCCCAAATAGAAACTAAAAATTTTGCATTTTCATCTCACTTCAGGCTAGTAAGCAACGCACAAAGGTGAGTCATAATCCAAGGTTTCAAACATATCGCAAGCTCGAGCCCAGTTCTTGTATATACGTGCATCTTCTGATGTGGTAAATGGTCCTTTTTTGATTCGAATATCTAGGCTTTTTTTAAGTAATAATAAAAACCTCAAACCATATTCAAGCAGTCGCTTCAACTCCTCAGTATTGACTGAGGAGTGTAGAGAGCAATGATGAAACAAGTAGAAGTGCTCGTCGATTTGTCGCATAACCCCTAAGAGTTAATGTCTATGAAATGTTAGATTTACAGATTAAAATGTTTTACATTTGAAAGGCTTACCTTCATCTGGTAAACGGTGTTGTTCGCGCATCAAAAAATGTAATAGATAAATATTATCTAGCACCGTTCACCCATCATCTACCAGATCACTTCAGATGTAACAAAATGACTTCAGTTACGTTTCATGCATTCACTCCACCACCTTCATAAATATTTATTATTGTAAATGACCACACAAAATTACTAAGCTTCCAAAGCTGTACGAGATTTAAAATTTTTTACAGTAGTGAAAAACATTGCGATAACGATGAACAAAGAGATTCGAGAAGTATCTAAAAGTAATGCGAGGTTTGAAGAGCAAACTAAGTATTACCTTCTGCACAGCCGCCCGTGTCGCTTGAAAAATATGGAATCCTTGGCCAAGCAAATAGATAAGAAATTGGATAAAAGACATTCGTCGGTAGGCATGCAAATGAAAGATGAGCTGTTATCCTAAAACTTAGATGAAAAGAATAGTTATGCAAAGAATAGTTTGAAAAGTATAAGTTTTAAATAAGCGCAAAAATAAAGTCAAAGTTACTGCGTCACTTACCACATTAAGATAAAAGAAGCCCCGTGTACAACCAATTTGCCAATCATGTCAATCTTCATTTTTGTTGGCAGAGAACCCTCACACATTTCTTCTGAAAACCAAAAATTTTCTGAGAAAAAATACAGATGTGTTGTCACCGACCTACTCCATACGATGCTAGTTGCTGTATATTTCAAACTTACTTTCTTTTTCGAATTCATCACGCTTTCCATTCATTTCCCTCTCTTTGCGAATATAAGCAGCGTATTGTCCGGTTGGTGAAATTAGAGAAAGCTCCACCTAAATAATAAATGATTTAACCAGAAACTATTAAAGAGCCAAAAATTTATAAACTCTACCTTCAGTTGTCGAAGTTCAGCGGCAAGTGTCTTTAGTTGAGCTGATTGATGACGACTTTCAAGTCTCGTTCTAATCTAAAATAAAGTACTTCATATTATCCATTAAAAAGCCGAGTTGAGTGCACTTTATCCCCCCTACTTTTTTTTGTTCTAAAACCACTTTTTCTGGGGTAATTCAGTGCGCTGATTACAAAAATCACATCACAATTGTCGGAAATGTATTTTTTGTAATCAGCGCACTGAATTACCCCAGAAAAAGTGGTTTTAGAACAAAAAAGTAGGGGGGATAAAGTGCACCGTTACCAAAAGCGTACCAAAGCAGCTACGATTGTTGCCATACTCGCATGAAAGACGAGCAGATATGCACTCAACGTACACAGAAATACCTGGAAATTGAAGCATTGAAACACCAATTTATAGGTCCAAAACTTTTAAACAGCAGCAACTAAACAAGAAACTTATTTTTATTACGTTAAATTGTAAGCAAAAATAAAAAAACCCACCTGCAACAAGAAAATTGTCCATTCGATCCCTATCTCAAAGGTGGACGGATGTTCAATTGGCTCGAATGAGATCTCCATTCCCTTCAAAAAGGACACCCGTTCTAAAAAGATAAATATAGGCTATTTTTCGAGAGAAAAAAAAGCTTGAACAAAAAAAGTGAGCGATCGGAGAAATCCGGAATGACCAATATCCAGAAAAAGTATTAAAAATATAGATTATTTTTTGGTTTTGTTTGTTTTTATGTTTTCTAGTGTAAAAAAACTCGAGGAACACGAAAAAGTGGTCATTTCCAGAGTTTCTAAAAAAATTTCGGTTTTTGATCCCTTAAACCTATCCAAATAATCCTGAACCCACTTTTTTTCAGGTCCCCGGGTTTTTACACTAGAAAACATAAAAACAAACAAAACCAAAAAATAATCTATATTTTTAATACCTTTTTCGGGCTTTTGGTCATTCGGGATTTGCCTACGGCCAAGAAAGTTTGAAAAAAAGAGAAGAGCAAGGTGTAAAGTAAAGTAAAGTTATAGGTGTAAAGTTTTTTCGACTTTATTGAATAGCCACAAAAGCTCCAGTTTAAAGATATTCAGTTGAAAACATGAGTACCTTCAGTTTACCAATAATTAAAATCCAAATCTTTACTGAAAATTAGAGCATTTGCAAAACTTTTCAAAAAGGTTGGTAATGTTTTTCTGCTCTCTCTTTGGCTTTTGAAAGACGGACCTCTTTTTGTAATTTCTTGCTCTAACCACCGTATGCCGCCGAAAAATATTCTTTGAGACGTTATTCGTTTTGAGTAAAGCGCATTCATTAAATAGTGTTAACGTTGGAATTTTCGAGAATTCTTAGCGTTTCTGGCTTAACTAGGTCAAAGAAGTTGCGATAAGTAATGGGCTGGGCCATAATGATTACTTTCATGAAAGTTTTCTTTTTGATATTTTCTACTTTGAGAACATTCTTCTTTTCAGGTCCAACAATGTTTCGTCGTGCTGCCAGCTCTTTTGGAAAGGTCGCTACGGGGCTTGCTGGGGCCCAACTTGGAACGGCAGCGGTGGTTGCGTTGACGGACAAGGAACTTGGAAAGAAGCCGGAGTGGTGAGTAGTTTTATTTAGAATAGTAGGCAAAAGAATTGGACTTGTTTGGTGGACTAAAAAACGATTGAGATGCGTTTTTGTAGTTGACTTTTGTCGTTAACTTTTGTCGTTAACTTTTATTGTTTGTTGCAATTTATTGTGCGTATTGTTAATGAACTGTTGGCATGATCCAATACAATCAATACACATAGGAAAACTGTTCAACCGGTCCGTAAAATTGTTGTTTTTTAGGTACCAAAACGCTGTTCGCTCTTTGGAGAGCTCACTCAAGCGCCTGTCAAAGAAAGGATTTATCGAGAGCGAATCCTGCCTAAACGATGCTCAGGATGCTCTTGGACGGTAAAACTTCATGGGATGCATAAAATGAATATTTTTTTAGAGTTTCCGATATCCACAACTGCGAAATTCAATGGCGTCTCGCTCGAGTATGTTCAACGGCTTTATCGCTTACCTATTTTTCTTTTAGGTATATGCCGAGAAGGCTGCTCTATCCAAGTGTGCACACGAGAAGGCTCACTTGCTTCACGATGTAAGTTTTCATGAGATTTTTACGATGAATGGAAGTTAGTTAGGTATTTATTTATGTTCATTTAGGCCAAGGCTGCTGCCAAGCGAGCACTTGCTGTTGAGCCTGCTAAGGGATCGGCTGGTGCGCACAAATGGTGAGGATTGGGTTTTGTAACAAAAATTATACATTGAAGTTTCGAAGTGTAAAAAACAGGGACCAGAGGGTCTCAAAATTTTGCGCTTTGGTTGATAGATTCAACTATGCGTCAAATAAAGAGTTTTGCTTAGGTACGCAATTACTGTGATTCGTCTTCATGAACTTGAACCAAAGACCACAAATCTCGATGATGCCGTCAAGCATCTCGAGATCGCCACGAAGAAGGACCCATCTGACCCCTACAGCTTCACCTTGCTTGGTTTGTTTTTGTTTATTGTCTGCTAGTATCATAATTTTAATTTTAGGCATTCAGCAATACAACAACAAAGATTACAAGGAGGCTCTTGAAAACTTCCAGAAAGCTGAAACAATAAAGGTTGCATTTCTTTTTTTGGCTATCTTGAACATCTTTATTTCAGGCCGGTTTCTCAGCGAACAACAAGTACTATTTGGGAGCTGCCCTTAAGGCCAACGGAAAGAAAGTAGGTTTTGATTCGAAACTCTTATGAATATAAAATTGCTGAATTTATCTAATCTTTTTAGGATGAGGCTATCAAGAGCTTGAAGGAAGTCCTCGTCACCGTGCCAACTGGCGAATTTGACGGAAAGGTTTGGTTGAATGATTGACAGTTTTTATTGATTTTAACCTTTAATTATTCAAACCACATTTTAGGCCAAATTCCTCGCCAAGGGTCTTCTCGCACAACTGGGCCTCAAGCCGGAGGAATATGAAGTAGGAGAGTTCTAGAGGGGATGTTTATCGAGCAACGATAACCAAAACAGATAGACACCCGAGATTTTGTTTGTAGTTTTTCTTTTTACTGTTTTTCTTTTTACTCTATGCAAATATTTGTAGTCTCTTTGTACGATTTGGCTCCGCTCACTAGCTAATTTTTTGTGATCCATCTTTTTGTTAGAATTTCAATTTTTGGCTGTTTTGGTATCGTGTAAAAGGTTATGAAGTAAAGCGGCGCCGAAATGAGTAAATGAGTACAAAAATTTATTTTCTTCCCGTTGCATATGCAAGTGAGCCGAAATTTCGAACCATTCCACAGAAGTTTCGGCCATGAGCCTGGACTTTAATGTTTGTTTGGGAGTTTTGTCCGTAACTTACTTGGCATTGTAAATTGACATTCCCAGCCTGTGTCGTGCAATCGCAAAAGATTTCGTCGCAGTTCTCTCTACCCGCTTTTGCTGCATAACATCTATCGTGTGCCGTGCAGCAATTGTTGAAAGCATCTAATTTTAGGGATAACATTAGGTAACTTCAAATCACTTCTTAAAGATCCTACCTAACCTGGCTGGGCAGTCGATTTTGATGACCATTTCAGAGAGACTATTTTGAATGGGATCCGATCCACAATCAAATGCAAACAATAGCGAGGGAATGGTGAGGAAAAGTAACAAAGGTAGCATTTAGGGGAGAGGTTCTGAAAATTGAATGAGCTCAACTTAAAGATTCCGAAAAAGAAACACTACAAGACAAATCAATAAGCGTGTATCCGAAAGAAATGGCAATGTGGATTTTTACGGTTGAATCCGGCGTGATTTGGAGGAGATAAAGAGGAAAGGATAAAAGATAAAAGAGGGGAGATCAACCCGGAAACGAGTTCCCCCACTCCCAATTGCCGCCTTCTCAATCTCCTCAAGGCATTCTTTGAGATGAGCTTTTCTTTTGGGGAAAATGGATCTTTAGACCATGAAGAGACACATACATCTCTTGGCAGAATTTAGAATTAGCTCCACTTCTAAGGTAATTTTGGAGTACGGTAAAGTACGGTAGCGCCGTCCACATTGAGGCTACTTTAGTTTACGGTAGAAATACTGTGGCTTTGAGATGATACTGCAACTCAAACCATCTGCATAGAGAGTTATTTGTAACTGTAACGGTAATAATTAACAAGATCCAGCAAAATATATTCTTGGAAGTTAGAAGTGGAAAAAACTTTTAGCATTGTTTTGCTCAACAAAAAATGATTTGAAATAAAATATTTTTTTTGTCAAACTGAAGAAACACTTTGACTTTTCCTCCAGATTTTAGCTGAAAGGTGTGCAAATATTTGGTAAACACAAAAAAACGTTGACAATACGTTTGAGAAAATGTTTGGATTAGGTGATTGAGAAAAATATAAAAAGATAATTTTAATATAATTTCAAAAGTTTCAGTCTAAATAAGCATTCAAAACCAATTAAATACATTGAAAAACCAAAATTTCTGACTCGATTTCCAAATAGAAGAATGATTTGTGTGGTTAGTGTTTGACTTGACTCTCCTTTTCCATTTGCCATCCCCTCTCACCTTCATTTTTCCCATTTTTCCCATTTTTGACCAAATCCGGTTTTGCTGAAGCGAATATTTCAACAATTCTGGAAAAAAAGAGACTCTTTGTTTTAAATGCTCTCCGTTTTCTTTTTTTGTATTCGATCAGAAATCAAATTTTGGCACACTTGTGATTGGGGAGTTGCCAGGATGCAAGAAGACAGGATACTAGGCTAATTTGGGGTCAACTTTGCCCGGGCCAAATGCTTGAATTGTGTGCATGAATTTTGATGTGCTATAGCTAGAAATGTTTGCTGAAACGTCAGAATTCTGAAACTTTTGGGTTGGGGAGTGTGAAATGGCGGCGACTCTCAAAGAGACTTCTATAGAATCGAGCAGTTTTTATCGAAGGACACGCGAGTAGCATCATTAGAAAGCTCACTTATTTCTCTACAAAATTATATTCGAAATAGAACTCAAAAAGCCGCCTAACGAGATCACTACAAAAATTTGGCTACTTATGTAATCTAATGTGATCCAACGTTTTTTTATTTTGACATCAAGTTAAGTTTATTTTTACATTTTTACTGATTGCGTTTAGGAGCCAATAAAATCCACAAAACAAAAGCTTTTCGGAATCTCTCAAAAGCCATTTTCTAGAGCAATGATAGACCTTTTTGATTATACAAACGATGGATTAAATGGAACTTTTAGGCATTCCAGAAAAACTTTTGAAAATCGGCGCCATCCTCTACTTCCCAAATGGGGTTGCACTTGGGTAATCAAACCGAATGAGATATCCAAAAATAGAGCAATTTTCTTTAAAAACTAACAATGGATTCGAATTCCTCATCCTCAAAAACCCCTGATTGCAAATTCTCAGCCCAATCGGCCTCAAAAAAGTGCTAAATCCAGGTACGGCCCATCGGTGGACCGTATCGTCGCGAATATGTTAAGACAGCAGCTGGTCAGGACTGACTCATGGCCTAATCAGTTTTGCCACAGGAGCTACCTATTCGTTGTTCTCTGTAGGAAGCAACTAACAATACCGAGCTTACAATTAGAGCCTAGTTTTGGGCTAAATTAGAACTTGGCGCCACTTTGCCACTCCACGCCTGTTGGGCTAAATTTTGCTAAATTCCTTGGTGAAACGCTAGCAATACCGTTTTGTTTTGTTATATTTAGCAGTTGGTGAGACCGGGCCCAGGTACTTTTGTGGGTCAGGCCTGCAGAAGCTGGCCTTTCCCGGAGAAATTAGCTTTTGAATTCCTGATCACTTTCCACAATTCAGCAACTACTCGTCTCACTCACAAAAAGTGCTCATTAGTTGGTACAAAGGCAGATCAAAACTTGTGCGTCTCCGGGAGCCGAACCCGCGACCATTCGCTTAGCAATTGTGCTCACCATTACACCACAACGCACCCGATCTCTCCTACTCCAGAGGGAGTGAAGTCAGTGCTCCGATTGAAATACTCGCCTCTTCCCCATGAACGTATCTTCTCCATCGGAGTCTTCCCCCAGCCCCGCCCCATTCCTCTAAAGACTCCCGTCCTTTCATCCATCTGAAATCTGATTTCTTTTACTTGCTTCCGCCTAACCGAAAAGATATTCAACGCCTCTCAACCCAAGTTTTCTTTCTCAAATTTATTCCCTATTTTTGCTAGAAAATATTCAAATCATGTTCTTTGTACTTCATTTTCTGGGGATCCTCTTGACAAATCGACACATGAGGGTGAGTTTTAGACTTGCTGTGATCCGTATACAAATATGAAGTATGCAAAAGCACCGACTAATGAAACTTATCATCTAAACGAGGTTTAAGCATTGAATCTTTACATATCGATCTGAAAATCTTCAGCTAGCCGCCGCCGGATCTCCATCAGAGCTGCAACAGACAGATATGCGGGTGTTATACGATCATCTCTTCAACGGATATCAACGAGAACTTCGACCGGTTCTCGATGAAAATGATCCTGTTAATGTAAAGTTTTCAATCTTTTTCCTAGTAATGATCTCTTGAACTTGTTTCTGATAATTTATTGGATGCGAGAAAAGCTGAATGACACTTTAGCCCTTCCAGAGTTGATGGGTTATCTAAATGAATTTTCAACTTAAAAGTAAAACTGAAGAAACTCATTTGGGTTTTTCGGCTGATATTTTATAAGAACCTTGAACTCTATACTATCTTTACAATGTCTAACATTTTGTACTCAGCTCACTCTGTACTCACCTAAAAATAAAGTAACCAACTCCGAAAAGCTGACCACTCTCGACATTTCCCCATTCAAAAAACTCTCAATTTAGGTAAAACTGAAATTTTGGTTGAAACAAATTCTGAAAGTCGACGAGAGAGATCAAATTGTCACCGTTTATTGCTGGCTCGAGCTGGTTTGTTTCAAATTCTTCCTCATTTTGAAACTCTTGATAAACGAGTGAATCTGGGTGGATATGAATTTTCGATGTTTACTCAAGAGTTTTTACTGAAAAACCACAAATTTGGTTTTTTTTGCGGAAGAAATCTTTTGATTGAGCTTTAGAATTAAGTGCTTTTGAATGAATGAAGAGTTTAGAAACATTCATTTAACAGTTTTAAGTGCAAAGGGAGTCAGGTGTAGAGTGTGTTCCGCGCGATTAATTAATTAACTCCCACTGGAGTGAGCGAGGTCAAGCCCGTTGTGGTGTATTGGTTAGCACAGTTGTCCGGTAAGCGGAAAGTGACGGGTAGAGCCCCGACGGCGCACAAATTTTGATCTGCCCTAGTTTCAACTGTGCAGTGCTCAATCGATTAAAGCTTGAATCGATTAATCGTTTGAATCGTGAATCGTTTTTTAGAACGAACACTCCAGTCAGGTGGGCGGTAGCTTGAACTTTAGCCGTGATAGCCCTTCATTTCTGCTACTTTCTCAATAATTATAGTTTTTTAAGTTTTATTCAAACATTTTCAAATTATTTTAATAGATCTCTATCCAATTTGACTGCTTTTTGGACTTCGTGTCTCAAAAAAGGACTAACATAGAGGGTTCGATTGTTTGTTTTTAAAGTTTTTAATTGTTTCTAATAAATTTAGTATACGGTAAAAATTCTAATAGAAGACCATGATCAATTAGAAAATTCTAATTCGAACCCCCTAAAATTGACCGGTCAAAAAAGATAAATTAGACAAATTAAATAGATAAATTTCCCGCACATGAATGAAAAAATTAAAAATTGTTAAAAACTATTTTAAACGATAGCCCTTGGCATAAAACGTACCAAAAACGTGTTTAAAAGTTAAATTATTTTTTTAAAACCCGGACTCTATAGCGAATCTTCGACTCTACGACTCTATAGCGAATCTTCGACTCTAAGGACTCTATAGCGAATCTTCGACTCTAAGGACTCTATAGCGAATCTTCGACTCTACGACTCTATAGCGAATCTTCGACTCTAAGGACTTTATAGCGAATCTTCGACTCTAAGCGAATCAAAAGTCCATCTGGTCCCCCACATGAAATTTCCTTCAAAAATGATTTTTTCATTTTTCAAAAATTGTTTTCAATTTTACTTCCGAGGCTAAAATACTTCTATCTTCGCCTAAATCTCCCATTCTACCTAAAAAGAAGTTTCAAAAAGTCCCAATTTCAGGGGGTCATGGGGTGGTCTTCTATTAGAATTTTTACAGTAGCTTTTTATTCTATAAAATTTATTTCAACTAGCTGAAGAGGGCTAAAAACATCCAAGTTGGCGCCCCTGACTTTCTTTGCACCCAATTTTAGTTTTAAAAGAAGAAAAACAAAATTTTACTGTTCGTGAACAGAAGAAACATCTTGTGCATGGAGCTACGGATTCACTTTTGCCTTTCTAGAGTCTAATTTTGTAGCTGATGCTTTAACAATTTTTCCAGTCGAAGCTTTTTTAGAAAAAACGATACGAATTAGTTTTATTAGTTGTAAAGATCAATTTAATAATATAATTCTTTTGTATTTTCATATCATTATCATTTTTTCAGTATTGGCGTGATGAAACTCTTTCATGGGATCCGATCGTTTTCGGCAATTTGACGCGAATCCACGTTCCAGCGGACAAAGTTTGGAAACCCGACATTCTCGTCTACAATAAGTTTGTTTCAAAATGACAACAATGACAAAAAATATGTATATGTATATTTATTCAACACGAATAATGAATTACAACACAAGGGAGGAGATTTTTACCCCTATTGCCTAAATGTTGTTAAGAAAAAACCCATAATAAAACCCATAATAATGGGAAAAAGAACCAATCTTTCTAGCCGCCTTTCTAGCCAATCGAATCCTTAACCCCTCGACTAGGAGACAAGACTCCTATCCGATTGGCTACAACGGCTATATTTCATTCCATTTCATTGAATAGCTCTAGATTGAATTGATCTTTACTGAACAACGGAGATATTCAGTTATCAAATAACTGAACATCTTTAAGTTTATGATATCCATTTGCAGCAACCGTCTTCCTTAACCCCCCGACTAGAAGACAAGACTCCTATCCGATTGGCTACAACGGTCATTAAGATTATATGACAATATGACAATTATGTGACAAAAAGTCTAGCAAATGCAATTTCACTTTGATCTTCATAAGTTTTAGAAATTTTCCCATTAGTTTCCAATTATTTTGGCTTATCTGAATGATTTGCTTTAAAAGCATTCCCCCAAAATGAAGCTGTTCTAGGGTAAAACATGAAACAATGAACAATCTCGTAATTAACCACAAAAATCAACATCAACAATCATGAACAATCTCCTCTAAATCTGATGAAGTTGTAAAATATCTCCTTTTCTGCAAAAGTGACTTTTTTCTCGAGTGTAGCCGAATAAATTCTATTTCCGCGATGAAAAAGAAACTTTTTGAATCTTCTTTTTGTGATAATCGCTTGAAAGAAAAGCTGAATTTCGTGTGAGTGGGCGAGAGGAATTTCAGAGGAATTTCATCGCATCGCAAAAAAGGAGCGTTTTCTTGTTACTTGAAGAAAAAAAAGATTTTCCACACTATTCTGAAGATTTGTGACATTTAACGGGATCAAAGGGTCAAAAAGTTTTCAGGATTGAATTGAAGATTGATTGAAAGGATTGATTGAAAGGATTGATTGAAAGGATTGATTGAAAGGATTGATTGAAAGGATTGATTGAAAGGATTGATTGAAAGGATTGATTGAAAGGATTGATTGAAAGGATTGATTGAAAGGATTGATTGAAAGGATTGATTGAAAGGATTGATTGAAAGGATTGATTGAAAGGATTGATTGAAAGGATTGATTGAAAGGATTGATTGAAAGGATTGATTGAAAGGATTGATTGAAAGGATTGATTGAAAGGATTGATTGAAAAGAATTGCAATTGTAAACATCTCTAATTTAATAGGTTTACTAAAGTTTGACATTTGAGCATTCGTCTCTTCTGATTCTTTACAGTTTAAGGCATTTAAATTTTAATGTTTCGAAGTTGGGTTTAAAGTTTATGAGATTTTTGAAGTCTTTCGAGGCATTTCATTGAATGTTTCAATTGATTCTTATATGTAAATTGAGACTTTTTAATGAATATCAAATCAAAACAAAATAAAACAAATCAAAACAAAATAAAAAACTATAAAAAATCAAAACCTTACATACAAAAAGCAGTTTAAACTTAATGAAATATTCTGAAAGACTTCAAAACCTTGCAAAATTTGTAAGAAGTTTAAACAAACAAAGCCTTCGACTTTGATTGCTTTAAGTTTACGGAGTATAAAGATCTAGATTCACTAGATTCAGATTCACTACTTATAGTCTAATATCAAGCAAATACGTTTTCTACCTACCAATAAATACAAAAGATATTCAGTGCAAATATGAATGTGGGAGAGAACGAGTTGGACACGAATGCTATCTTGGAACATGATGGAAGGGTCAGATCACAAGACTTTTTACAACTAGTGTTTTCCTTTCGACTAATCCGTTTTCTAAAACCTGTCAACTTTCCCGACTACCGTAATCTAGCCACTAACCACTAACCATCTATATCTACACCAGAATCAAACAATCTAGAATCGGCTGGGTCTGATCCGGCACTAGACTTGGATCCAGATCAATCCTTGACACTGTTCTAAGTTCCTACCATCATTCATTGATAAGCTAGTTATTTAGCCCTAGGCACGTCTTTACTAACAACCTACTGGCCATTAACTTACATACTGGCCCTTATTCGTTACTAGACAGTACAAAGCTCTAAAGATCCAGATTAGATAAACTGTTCGCTGCACTGGTATTTATATTATAACCAGCTGGATGTTTTGCAGCTCTTTTTTTGGCGCAGTCAGGAGCGCGCTTGTCTACAGCCCGCACGAGCCGGGCTCAACCGCCCGTAGTGCCACTCAATTTTGAATTTTTGATTTTAAATGATACTACTATATTAGATTTTAAGGAATTTCAGTCTCTTTGGCTTAAAGGATTACGGTAGAAAGGGGAAGGGGACACGTTTTAGAAATTGAGTTGAGCTTTGGGACTGAGTGATCGACTCAATTACAGCAGCGAAATCCCCGAAATGTTCTCTTGCAGGTTCTCCTCTTCCGCTCAATCATCACATCGATCTCATGCCAATTAAATCTCGCGAATTTCCCCTTTGATCAGGTAAGGTTTACCAAATAATTTCTATGAAAACATTTCTAATTTCTGGCAGCTTCAGTTCAGAGATATTCTTTTGATTTGGTAAAAATAAGAAAATTTCTTCACTTTTTCTTCAAAAAGAAAACTTGAAGCGCCCCTTAATTGAACATTTCTCATATTTCTTCTTTTACATCGGTAAACAATCTATTTTCTACTAACTTCTCAAATCTTATAGATTTCGGAGAATATTGAACCCATTTTTGATTTGGAAATGAAATTAAGATTGAAATTTGAATTTAGAATTAATCAAACTAATCAAACTTCCAAAGAGAGCTGAAAAATTGAATTTCAAAGCCTACAAGGTAGTGAAACCGTAATGAAACCGTAATGAAATCGGAGTCTTTCTTAAATTAATGTAATGAAACCGTAATAAAACCAGAGTCTTTCCTAAATTCCCAAAATTTCCGCCGTTTAATTTGCGCAATCTTTATGATTTTGGTTTCATTTTGTAGATCTCAATAAATGCAACAAAATGAAACCAAAATCATAAAGATTGGTTCAGCGCAACAAAAATCTTTGGATTCCCATTGTTGGACCATCTTTTTTTCTTTTCCCCTTTTCCCTTTTCCCCACTTTTGCCCACTTTTCTCCATTTCTCAAATCTGTCACTCGATTTTGAGACTCGGAGAAAAAGAGATGCTTCAAAAGATTTGAAAGAGTTCCCCTTTTATTCTTTCTTCTTTCTTTTATTCCCATTCTTTTCTCTCTTTTTCTTTCTCAAAATTCTTCATGACAGCTTTGAAATTTTTCAGAAAAATTTTGAAAACTTTCGTCTGTTTTCCCGTCTTTTTTTTTTTACCCACACCCCCAACGGGGAAATTTCTCAAAAAATTTTGAGCGCAAATTTTTCAAACATAAAAAAAACTTGTTGAAAAGTTTGCTTTTGAAAAACTAATATCAATTATTTTTGAGAAAGGGGAGATTTTGAGAAGGAAACGCAATAGGATAATTGAAATAATGAAAACTAGCTTGTAGCGGTTGGGTTTGAAACAAGAGATCTGCTTTTTGAAACTCTAAAGATAAGTTGATGGGACAAAGAATTGTGATCAAAATATTTCTCTCTATAGTCTTTGAATTTGAAGCAGAGGAGTTTCTTGGGAAAGATAGCCAGTAGCACTCATTTTTTTGAATTCCTTAATTTGCAGCAAGTCTGCTATCTGACATTCGCGAGTTGGTCGATGGACGGCTCGAAATTGATGCTCATCCCCACGGAGAACACTGACAATTTGGAGCTCTACATAAGGAATACCGAGTGGTCGTTGACCGATTTCAAGGTGAGATTGGGAAGATTGTGGATGAGGCGATGAGTGCGATGATGAGACAAGATGAGACAAGATCACTAGGGAAGTCTGAGCCAAGCTGGCCTTTTGACTCGAGACCAAATCCATTTTATTGAGTGGGGGATCGAGAATCCGTTTTTAGTTTTTACAGAATGCTTCGCAAACGTGAGATATCTCTTTAACAAGCCGCCACACGCTCATTCGTTAGCTGGTAGTCTAGTGGATAGTCGGCTAGGCCACTGAACCTGTTGCATTCTTTGGCCGCCAAGTTCGAGTCCCACTCCCTCTCAAAATTTTTTCGCTTGTTGAAAAAACTGTTTTACTACGTGTTTCCAATAAATAGCAAAGTTGATTTTTCAATACTTATTTACTGATTCTGATACTTTTAAGATATAAAAACATGAAAACAAGAGATCAGGATCTGGCTTTTAGCTGGCTTCGGCTCAGGGCTGTTCCAAAAGTTCAAGCCAAGACAAGCCACGCCAAGCCGAAAACAAGAGATCCATTCAGGCGAAATCCTACTTCAAACGCTACGAGTGTTGTCCTCATCCATTTCCCGATATCACGTATTTTATGGTTTTGAGGAGATCACCCAGCTACTACATTTTCAGGTTTACAAATTCAAATCCAAATCTAAGTATAGCAAAATAATTCTTGCTAAAAATAGCATCAGTGAGTTATCCGAGGACAGAGAATCGATTTAATCAAAGAACAACGAAGTTTTTGATACGGTTAACTTCAAATAATCATTTCATTTGGTATTTTGTGAATTTGTTTTCTTGCAGTCTTGTCATTCCATCAGCTTTCATTACTGTGGTCACAATTGTCGGCTTTTTTACACCACATTCGACGACGGGAGAGAACACGGAAAAGGTTTCCCTTGGGGTGACCGCCTTGTTGTCGATGGCGATCATTAGTAGGTTTATAAAATGGCAGTGCACCAGAAAGTGTGCGTTTGTGCGCAACAAATTACAATCTGGATGCTAATGATAATGCTAAAGCTAATGAAGCTAATGAAGCTAAAGAAAGTTGTTCAGTGATGATGGTTTCCGATGAAGTTCCAGCCACATCAGAAGTGATTCCATTGATTGGTTGGTTATTGAAAGAATATTATGAGATGTTACCGTAAATACTGTAATAGTACCCCACTGCCCTCGTACAGTCGCGTAGTCGCAAAAGTTTTTTAGTATTTCATTTTTTCAAAGCTCCCGTACTTTCAAAAAATGCGTCTTTGGTATCAAAAAATAGCTGAAATTCAAGGCTATTTTTTGATACCAAAGATAATGACGGTGCGGAGTGTTGCGTAGTCTAGCTTTGAACGCGTTTTTCTCGACACTGGTTTATGCTACAATGCTCGTTTAAATATCAAAAATAGCCCTGAATTTCAGCTATTTTTTGATCCCAAAACGAGCATTATAGCATAAACCAGTGTCGAGAAAAACGCGTTCAAAGCTAGACTACGCAACACTCCGCACCGTCATTATGGGGTTGGGGTACTATTACAGCATTTACGGTACGTTCGTTATTGAATTTTGCCCGATTCAATAACGGATTTAAAATCTACATATTTCTAAAGCTGATAGTTTCATCAATACTTTCCAGGAAAATACTACATTGGGCTAATCTTTCTCATTTTCGTCGCCGCTTTCACCACCACGTTGACACTTTCCTTTCAGATGAGGGGAAATTCTGGGGAAGAGGTGAAAACTTGACACTTTTCATAGCACTTAAAGCACTCTCCAAGCCATCAGCATTTCTTTCTTTCTTTCCAGCTTCCCCTTCCACTTCGCCGTTTTTTCTTCATTCACATCGCCGGCAATAAATTCGTCTCCTGGGCTTTCTCTTTTCAATTACCGAAGAAATACGTGACTCGACCGGAAAAGGTTTCTTTTAGATAATCGATAAACTATTGGCTTATCAACACCGACAAATGACTCAAAAAGACAAATGACATTCCTTCCAGGAACAAACATTCATCTTCGAGAATCTACGCAATTGTCTGAATGGATATTATCGGGGATTCGCAAAACAAAACGAGCAACAAAATGGAGGGATTGGAATGGATGATTTGGAAAGGAAAAAGAGGAAAATTGTGAGTTTTGCTGTTAAAAGTTCAAAGTTATTTGATTCAAAAGATCCGTTTTGAAAGTAATGAATACATTACTTCAAACATTTCCAGATTATGTCCAATTCAGCGGCTCAATGTGCTCACTTGTTGTCGGAAAGGCTGAGAGTCGTTGTCGAGGATGTTCGAGATATTATTCAGCATGGTTTGTTTAAAAGAATTACAAATTTGATTTTAAAGGGCATCACAAGACTTAAAGTAATGCTATTAGGCTGTGACCAAGTTGTACCAAGAAAGTGACCAAGCTAGGCTGTGACCAAGCTAGTATAACATTCCATTGATCACTTCAACTATTCGTTTCTCTAACTGGTCCACCTTGCTAAAGGATTTGGACTCTGGCTCTGGTAGGCATGGGTCTGGTTTCAGGTTTGGTTCTGGATTTGCCTGGCCTGGCAACCCAGGCCATTGTGGCCTGCCTTTGGACCATTGTGTCACTTCCAAGTTGGAACTACGGCAGACCAAAAACCAGTGCGCCGCCGGGAGTCGAACCCGTGACCTTTCGCTTACCTGAAAACTGTGCTAACCATTACACGACAACGAACTTGTTCTCCCTTACTCCAGAGGGAGTTAAGTTCCCCGCAAAGTCTTAAACTTTCCCTTCTCTCTGTAACGGATTCCTTTTTAGAGCGTGACTCTCGTCGAATCCAATTCGAATGGCAACAAGTGACTCGTATCATCGATCGAATCATTATGTTCATTTACATCGTTGCCACAATTACTTTCGCTGTGTACATGTTAACGACAAGAGATCCGGATATCTGGTTGACTGATCATTTGATGGACACAATTAAGAAATAGATTCTGTTTTCAAATTTCAAATCTGTTATTGATCTCAGCCAGCGCCCAATACGAGTATTTCTTTGATCTTCATTTTTTGTGAGTGATCGAATAAATTTGTTTTCAAGCCGAATTTGAGATTGAAGCACATTTTGAATTCTATTTTTTCAAATTCTCCTCTCCAAAAGTCAACAAAACTCGCCAATTTGCTAATTAAAGCCAACCCGGTTTTCCTTTTTCCCAACAACTGATTTCCCATTTTGTTCTCTGCTTGATCGCTTCTTGTATCAATTAGCCCTTTCCCCAGCTTTTCCCATTCAAAAGCCTCATATCAAAAGTCTCCCATTGCCATGTTCTATTCAAAAATCCCGTCTTTTCTTTTTCACAATCGAGCTTTCCCAAACGGGTATTCCACAAAGAACTCCAAAAGAAATACACCCGGAAAGCCTTTTTTTTGTGAAGAGATTCGATCAAAACGAACGGGATTTCACATGCCACCAAAAAAAACTTTTGGAAAACCCTCTTAAATTCGAATAAACACGAGATTCTCCCGACATTTACCCTTGCTCACCTCAGCATTTGAGCTTTTGAAACTTGAATTCCCCCAACAACAAAATGATCTACAGAACTCTCGTCATTTTCGTGTTCTTGAGGCAAACACAGGTGAGACTAGAGACTTAAAAGACTGTCCACAGGTGAGACTGTCCACTCTTAAAACTACTGTTATCTTACCTCTAGACTTTATTCAATCTGTAAGGTTTTGAAAAAATCCTAGATTGGGGCAATACTAGCACTATTGTCACAGTAGTGCTTTATCACTTGCCAGTACCCTAAAATCACTTTTTCCCGGCCAAGCCAAGGCAGGACCATGGCTTTGGCTTGGCTTGGCTTGGCTTGACCTTTTGGAACAGCCCTGAGCCGAAGCCAGCTAAAAGCCAGGTCCTGGCCAGACCTCTCCTTCAGTCCATAGAGCCAATATCATGCTAGCACTCGCCCTCATTAAGGCTTTCCTCAATCTATTCGGAGGCGGTGGATGCGGGTGTGGCTGTGCGCCGACTCCATCTTGTGCTCCACCGATGCCATCCTGTGCTCCTCCATCTCCATGTGGTGGAGGGGGGCTGCCACCATCACCCTATTATTCAGCAGGTGAGGTTCAAGGATGAACGTTTTGCTATCCCTTCTATACTTCGTCGTATTATCCTCAAATTTGGGATATCGAGGCATTTAAATGTAACATTCAGGTCCATCCTACTCTCCGTCAGCTTATCCATCAAAGGATTTTGCTTCTCAACTAATGCCTGGTTAGTTGAATCTCTAGTTACCGTACTATAACTGTGCACGGTGTCGTTTGGATAACCTTTTGTATATCCTAACTTTAGGACCCTCATTTCCTGCTTCATCCATTCCCCAAATTGGCCCGCAAATCTCACAACCCGTTGCTCAGGTGAGTTATTAGATTTTTTAGATTTTTACTTATCCTTTTCTTACTATAATGTTACCTATTTTATTTTTAGTCAGTTCAACCATCAGTCATCAACGAGGTCTCGGTGCCCACTCAGCAATTATCCCTTTCACAACAGCCACAATCACAAGAACAGCCGCAGGTTAGTCCCGACTCACTTACAGACAGGATTATTCTTACTTTTGGCCTAACCAAATGCATACTACTTTTTATACAAAGTCAACCTTTTTTTTAGTACTCTCCACCAACAAACGAAGGTGCGCCAGTTGGAGAAACGAACAGTGTACAGGTGAGTGATGAATAGAAAGGTATACGTCGTTGTCTAAATCTTCTTAAACAATAAATGCAGACGATTTCCAGCAGCAATACATTGCCCCGGCCGTGCTCGCACCAAGCGGAGACACTGAGGCTCAATCAGCGAATGATTATCAAGAAGAGACACCAGCCAATCCAATTAATCCACCAGCACAAAGCCTCCAGCCGGCACCAGAGGAACCACAAAACGAACCGCAAACCGGAGCTGAGGTCAGTTTTGATAATGATAGATCTGTTTGACTTGCCAAAAAAGGTATTCAAGGTGTTTTAAAGTTTCAAAGTCAGGATTAGCTGAGGCTGAAATTTACAGTTGGTTTCCAAAAACCCTTGATCCCTTTTCAGTACGACGAAGAGACGATAGCAAAGAGACAAACGAATTTCGATCTAGCCGAACAAAATCTCGATTTGGTTGATAGAAACAAGGTGTTCACGAAAAAGCATTTACATAAGAATCACTCGAAAATCAAAAACGAGAAAAGCTATTCAACGAATCATTGCAATTTCCAGGAGTACGAGGATGCCGGCGAGAATACGGGAGAATATTCTTCGAACATCGCGAAAGCACTCAAGAAAGCGATTCGGATGAAGGTTCGGGATGATTTTTATCTAAAAGATATCAAGGCTTCGAATTCTACTTTATGATCTAGTTACCGTAGATCACGAAGAGACACTAGACACACTTAGACACAGTCAAAAAAACCCAGGATACTAAGGCTTCTGATCTTTTGATCCAGATAACATAAACCTGAAATCACTAGGCATTGCCGTATACTTAAATCAGTTTCAATGTCATTAACTATTCTGTGTTTAAAACCTCTAACAAGTAAGTATTACCGTTCCTAGTAAACTTATCGATTTCTCCAAAAGTTTGACCAAGTTGCCTTCATCTTCAATTCTCAAAATCCGACTCCAGGTCCTCCGACGATCCCCACTAAAGAAACAAATTCTGAGGGAAGTTGCCGAAGTGGTTCCACCAAGAGTGGAAGTGAGCGAAAGTCTCTCGCTCGATCCAAGAACCAATTCACCCGCAACAGAGACAACCTCTTTCGATCCAAAATGTAACTCGGAAGTTCTACGAAAGTGTATTTTAGAGGTAAAAAGGAGAAGATTTGACTAAAAAGGGAAACATTCAGAATGTACAACAATCGACAGCTACTTCAAAGAGGAAAATCCAGAAAGCCGCCGTTGATGCAATTGGAGGTGAGAAAAGAAAGATCTTGACAAGTAGAAAGGATTACTTGATATTTTAGGCAGAGTTGATGTGATCTGTTCAATGGCCACCTTTTCCTACATTGTCAATACCGAACTTTACTGTGAGGCCGAGCGAAATGGAATCACATGTTTTGCATTCAGACAAGCTGGCAATCAATGATCCCCTACACAGCCAAAGCTTAATAACGCATCATGTATCTCAAACAAAGTGTGCAATAATAAAACAGATTTATAACCGGCAAAGATTTTAAAAAGCACATAGTGAGGTAAAAAAAGCAAATACTCGTAATGTTAAAATAGAAAATAAACAAAACCAAAAAATTCCCAAAAGTTAAATTCCCGTCAACTAGGTTTCTATTGGTAAAAATACCAATAGAAACAATAAATAATACCCAAACAATGACTTTAAAAAAACAGAGGCCTGAAAGCAAAGAATCGTTAGTTTGGTGGAGTGGGTCGATATTTGTTCTTGTTTCTCTGAAACAAAATATTATTTTAAACCACGAAACTCTTTCCGCAACCTTTTTTTTCTTATTTTTCGTAGGCGTTCCAGTGCTCGATTGAGCGTCATCCGTAGGAAGAGGAATCGTTGTGTAGTTAAACTCGTGTCGCTGTCGATAGTGTCCTTGCTCCTAGGAAACTCATTAAACACGCGGTGGAACAGAAAAACTTACATTATAGTTTGGCGTCGCATTACCAAATTGTTGCAAATTTTGTGGACGGTCGTTTAACGAGGGGCCCTGTTCGGACTTCAATAGAAGCACTTGTTTTGAAACGGAAAGTACGCCTCGATCACCTTTTTGCGGCGGAGAAATCAACTAAAAAAGCATTTTCATAAAAAAGACAAAAGAAGAAAATACCTTTTTTTGTGATGGACCTTTAAACGACGCTTCTAGTGACAAAGCGGGAAGACCCGGACGATTGTGAGACGGCTTCTAAAAGATACATAAAGTAGTTCTTAAAAAATTTAATACTATTTGATTTTTAATTTTAAAAAAACCAAAATCTCAAACCTGAATTTGCTGATGCGATTGTTGCTTCGGTTGGCTGTTTCTTGGATTCGAACTGGCACTTGTAGGAGGCAGCATTCGGGCGTCACTAAAAACTTATATTCCTATGCAAGATAGTGAATAAGTACCCCTCTTGTTGCTTCGGCTGGGAACGATTATGTGATTCATTGCCTCGATTGAAATCGTTTTGGTTCACGTTGACATTCGTCTCGTTCGCATTCGCTTCCGATTTTGCTCCATTGCTCTAAAACCAAGTTCTTCAATGCCAAGTTCAGACGATTTGACTCACGTTGCCGTAATTTCCAGTGCGTCGCTTCGCAAACCCTTTTGCTTGCCGAGGCACGAAACCATCACTAAAATTAGTGTTTTTCTTTCAAGTTGAAAATTTTTACTCTTTCTTTGGGCAATTTCCAGCGTAATGTCCTGGCTGGAAGCACTGTTTACATCGCTCACGGCTTTCTGGTGGACCTCTTAAATTGCGACAATGAGCCTAAAAGAATAAATTCAGAAAAAGTTACAAAACCACGTCAACCAAAAGTTTCTCGGGTGCTTCCAACTCCTCCGGTTCTTGTGGAACATTTCCGCGAGCTTGAGCGAACTGTTTCTTCAATGGATTTGGTCCTCTGAAAAAATAATAAAGGAAAATCAATAAACCTACTTGATTTTTGGAGACTTTGATCTGACGATTTGTTCAAGATTCTTTGTCGTCCACAACACTTCTTTCGAATGCGCAAAGCATCGCATGACGTAGACCATCACTATAAAAATCTGTGGATCAATGATAATCTAACATTAATGTTTCACATAAAAAATTACGGACTTCGCTCTTTGACTCCAGAAGGCAGGTTGTGGGTCCTTTCAAATGGATCTTCAATGTACATGTGCCGCTCCAGTGACCATTGAGTCATCGCTCTGATCTACAAGGAAACAATGTACATTTAAAATGAAAATTCATACAACAGAATCTTCTCGCTTTTCGTCAATGTAGACCATCCGCCGTGTTCGAATTTGAATAACCTGGAAGTGCATGAAAAATTTCTCGCCAATAAAATCTTTACTTGATTGTTGAAGTCGTAATTGGAGTAGAAATCGAGATATTTCAAAAAGATCATTCCCAAACGCTGGCTCGTCGGAGCCCAATTCATCTGAACCAACATTTTGAATAAAATTAGATAAACGGATTTACCCGTTGTTTCGCTTTATGTAAGTCAGCTGGCTCAAGAAATGTGATATCGCATCCCTCGCATTCTTGACGTGGATAATCCTTTGGTAGCCATGGAGCCTAAATAATACCAAAGTTGGACATAAGAACGTCTTGTTTACCTCCGTCAAAACCGGTAGAATTTCTTGTTGTTGCAGAAAGTGGATGAGCATCAACATATGGCCATAGGAAGAAATTGAGCCGCATGCGGCATCACCTGCAAATAATTAATCAATCAACTACTCTCATAGACCAATCTAAAGTGTTATTAAAAACACCGTCAAAATTCACCAATGAAATTATCCTTTGCCCAAGCTTTCACGAACACGCCAAGATTTCTCAATTCAGGCCAGAGCTCACAATACGTTGCCAAAAGTCGCGAGTTGTGCATGGCCAATGTGTTATAATAGGATACACTAAAAAGTTTATGTAATGCCTTAGCTCAATCTTTACTAACTCGGCATCCAAGATCTTTCCTTTTGTCTCAACGATTGGTGTATTTGTGGCCTTGTACTTGTTAAAGTGAGCATCAAGGTGCAGCTTGAATTGGACAATAGGAACCTGAAATCAAAATATGTTAGTTGTTTTTCGAGTCGAAAACAGACCTTTGCTCGATAAACTGGTTGCACATTATCAGTGAAATGACAATAATTCAAAGAGCCGTTGATTTTCCGCATCACTGTCTGTGTGTCAACCTAAAAAACCCGTAAGCATCTTTTTCAAAGATTTAACCTTTGGTTTGGCTTTTGAATGGTCGGCAAAAATCAAGCAAATATCGACGTCCGATGTCTTCATACCAATTCGATTACAGTATGATCCAAACAACTAAAAGAAATATAGGCCGCTTCGTATTCTCTAGTTCTTACCGCAAGTTTCACCGTTCCAAAGCCAAGTTTTGCGATGTTCGATCCGTTCATGTTCGTCTCCAACTCTTTCACTTTGCTTTCGACTTTCTTTGCTTCTCGTTCGCTGACAGCGTCACGATCTAAATAAAAAAGACATCGAATTGGAGAAACTTTTCTTACCAAACATTTTATTGATGATTACAGAAACTTTTTCGCCAACGCTGTCACTTGGTGGTGGTAGTTCAACGTAGATCGGTCGCTAAAGACGTTAAGGAGTTTCTTTGCAAAGCAACCACAAAATACCTCAAGCTCAGGGCAATTGAGATTGATGTGATCAGAAGAATTACATGCAGTGCATTTACGCTCCACAGTCTAAAAAAACCATAGGTGTTAAGATAGGGGTGAAACTTACATAGCCTCCTGTGAGGTTGTCGCGTACCTCAAAGTCATACTCCTCGTTTCTTTCAATTGTACCCAACTAAATTTTAGAAGCTTTAGCGATTAAGTTTTGTTCTTACCGATTCTGGGTCCTTGAACAAAATTGCGAAATCCTCAACGCTGACTTTCTAAATCATACAGTTAACGCAATTACAAATTTAAATTTCCAACCTTTGGCACAAAATTCGTCTTAGCGGTAGCGTCCTAAAAATAAAGATTATTTGCATCATACAACCACTTACCATATTGATGTCAGAAATGCGGCTCATTCCAAGTGCTTCAAGATTGCTCGCATCACCGGCTGCTAAAGTAGGAAATAGTTTGATGTCGCGATCTTCTAAAATTGTTTCATGTATGTGACATGATAGCCATAATCTTACTTATTATACACAAAGTTTGTGTGTGTCTGCTCGTCCACCTCATAACTAGAGTCCTAGTGGGAATTTCGGACGGATTTTTTGAGACAATATGCAATCGACTACGGCGGTTTGGTCCGTCAGCTTTTAAAATTTCAACCCGTTTTTGAGTAACGTTAAAAAAACTGGATTTGGCGATGAGGTAAAAGGTCGCCTAGGGCGTACTTCAAAAAGTGAATTTCGGGTTCATTTTCTCTGAATATATTGGGGAAATATTCTTAACTTTTGGCAACTGCTGGTGATTTTAAACAAATTAGGATAAACCGTACCAGTCGCTAAAGTCGTGCCATGATAATCAATTTGTTCATCAATATTGTAACATCCCCAACCAGTTCCCTCAACGGCTTCCTCTTCATCAGCCTCGATGACATTCTCTGGCTCGTTTTGCATTTCATACCCCGGCTCAACGAATTTAATTTTTCGGATGTACTTCTAAGAGACTCGTGAACAAGTAAATAAATCTTTTTTACCGCCCAATCGTTGGTGGTGATGAGTTTCTCGAAGTGTTTGTTAAACAACTCGTTTCGATACTAAACATGATAAACTTAGAAATACAGTTTCCGAAAGTACCTGACGAGAAAATTCCTCAACTGCTTCTGATTCCAGCAAAAGATAGAGAGTTCTCCGTGAGTAGACTCGGTCGGCCATATCGTCCTTCTCAAGCCTGCCTTCCTCTTTGAGTTCACGTAAGTTGTACTTCCAGACTATCTAAAAAAGCGGCGTCAAAAGTAGTCGCCATCAAGAATATTTACCCCAGCTGCTTGTTCTTCACTCGGCTCGTCATCCTAGAAACAAATGTAGTGATAGTATTGGGCACAGATATTACCCCATTTTTCACCTTATCACCCCATTTTTCACTCCAAGCATCGCCAGCGTTTTTCTTTTTCGTTTTCTGGTCATTGTCTCTTGATTTCTCAATTGGTGCCTAACTACATTGAAAATTTTTACACAAAATTCAAGCATACCCTCATTAGCAGCTGCACAAGAGAAGATGTGGTACCAAAATTTGCCACTTTGATGTAACAGAATGTATGCAAGGCAACATTAAAGATATGGCAGAAGACTTGTCCAGACACTGATACAATGTTTCCATGAGGCTCTGTAAATAGAGAATAACATTAAGCTAAAATTTTAAAAACACCAACCAACAATAGTGACCCTCCGATTGGATAAAATGATTGAATCGACATGCTTGTTGTCGGTGACATAAATGTAGAGGGCATTACGCTAAATATGACATAAACTTGATTTCACCATAATGATAAATTACTTCTTGCACGTAGTACTCGAGAAAATCGTGAAAAAGTTGTCCTAAGTTCCAATCCAGCGAACCATCTTTGCCCGCCACCGCCTAAAACACACAATGAATGACTCAAACAATAAGAACCACCTTGACTTCGTCTGAATTCTTGAATTCCGGTAGGGGTCGAATAAGCGTTTCACTTGCTGTAAACCCATGATCCTAAAAAAGTGTTGTCCTTCGATACATCATTTTTATGTATCTTTATAAATTAACCTTAAAGATGTTTGGCAGTAGTCCTTTTTGCAGTAGAAAGTGCAGACTCATCAAATCGACAATATAAATTGGGAGTCCGGGCTGTTTCTTCTCGATGTTCTCAATCAAGTCGCAAATCTAATCGAAAACTTAGTCCAAAAATTCAGCTTTTTGAATACCAAGGCCCATTTTCGAATCCATCGAAGGAATTTGATGACACCAGCTCGGAAAGTTGACCAAAATGCAACGGCACTAAAAGTAAAAATGCTTTTTAACAGCTACAATATCCAACCGGCTCAAAAGCATTCTTTCAGGACAATTGATATGCATGATCACTTTGAACTGATCCATTTCAAACTCGAATGTTTTGTGCTTGGTGTATTGGGCATTCTTGGGAACAGGCAGAGTACATTCTAAAGTTAAGCAATATGATCAAGAAAATTTGAAAAAAGCAAAATACTTACTTGTTGCTCGTTCCTCCATCGCTGTGTTTACTTCTTTGAAGAAATCTATCCATGTGAAATGTCGCATGGTGATCGTAGGTACCGAAAGATGAAGATTTATGTCCGAATTGTCCTTATCCTGATCTTCAGGCGACCACTCGTCCAATCCAACCAATGAGGAGCCGTAAAGATCGAGACTCCACTTTGAGTGATCTAAACGGTATGTGTACATGTGTAGAACCACGGAAAATCTCGTTTGACTTGAGATTTTCCTCTTTTTAATCGAGGTTTGCCACCTCGAAAAGTTTGTAGTGTGGTTGCCTCCATCCCACCAATAGTTTCCCTCTCGTCAGCTACATAGCGAATTGAGTCGTCAACAAAAGAAACAATTCTTCGCGCCTGATGAGCCAAAGTCGAACCATCTGCACCATCATCTCGTTTGGCCAGCATCCTAAAACAAAATTTGTGCTAGCCAATAGACTTTTCAAATAAACCTTTCAATTTCTTCGTGCATCTTGTCGTAGTGTGCCTGCGTAAGTTCAGGCAAATTTTCCAACAACTGTTTACGAACCCGATGACGCTAAATAGTAAAAAATAAAAGGTAGGCGCAAACTTTCACTCACCCGCACACTGTTTTCATGCTCTCCGCCAAGTAAATGTTCTCGGCAACTTGTCGTTGTGGAAAAATGATGCTTACAAACTTGGCATACGTAACAAGCATGTTTGTTTTGAGGATGCTAAACTTTGTTGAAAATTACTTACGATACAACAACTCACCAAAGGAGGCTTCTCGAGAAATTGGATATCGTGTTTCGCCAGGAATTCTCGCGTTGAAGGCACAGCAAGTGTTCGGAAAGCATGGTCCCCTTAAATTTCAAATTCGTGCGAAAAACAACAACTGTTTACTTCCAGATTCCACTAGGTCTTGTGTGAATTTGATAAACGCATCACGACATTCAGCAACAACCTCCCGGACACGAGCCTCATCTGTTTTATTGTCCAACATCGCCAAGCAAGCCGGATGCTCCTACAAAATATCAAATCACAACCAAAATCTTAGAGCTCACCTTGTATTCTGGAAGACCCGTTTTCACGCTAATCGTTATCGCTCCCAATCGCCCAGTCTTCTCAATGTAACACTAAAAAGTTTATAATGCTTTTGAAAAGAAGTACACTTTGACCGTCATTTTCATGTCCCTTTGGTCTGTATCGGTACGTTTCAGAGGAAAGCGTTTACCCATCATTTCACCAAAAGGAAAATCTTCCGGCGCGTACTGAATCTAAATTTACATAGTAAATTCTGAGTAAACCATTCTCTTAGCTTCATCAGTTTATTTATATTTATACCTCCTCGGTTTCCTTTTTCTCCTTTGGCTTTGTTTGTTGAGACGTAGAAGCTGTTCCCGAATCCACTGCTTTCGCAGGCTAATACATCGTTCATCTAATCCAAGGCACAAAACAAACCTCTTGAACATCAGCTTGTTGAGGTTGAGCGTTATTCCTCACAGGCCTCGATCTCTTGCATTCACCAAAATTCTTCTAAAGAAGTTAGTTTATCAAGACTGAGAACCAAGTTTACCGCGAAATAGCCCTTATTGTCTGTTTCTAGCCCATGTTCTTCTTGCGTGGTCTCGATCTCGAGGTCCTAAAGAATACAAAATCTTAATACAAACTGAGGCTTTAGTCCAACTCAAATTAATGCCTAGTAATAGAGTATCAAAGCAAACGGCCGTACCACAACATCATCTTTTGCGAAAATCGGTTGCTCATCAACAAATAGTGCTTCTGCGCCTCTTTCTGCCAGCTCATTCTCGTAGTGTTCTTGAATGACGGATTGTTCTTCCTCATTTGGTCTTGCTTCATCGTTCTCGTTCGGTTTCTTCACGTGATGTTCTTCTTCATTTTCTATTGACGCATCGTCCCCGTGCGTTTTCTCCGTGGTTTCTTCCACTTCATTCTCTTTTGCTTCATCATTCGCCAGTGATCCAACCACTTGTTTTTTCAGGAGTGCCTTTTCTTTTTCCTCTTCGGTGGAATGTGCTTCTTCTTCACTCGACGAGGCGGCTTGCAAGAAATCGTTCATCTAAAAAGAAATGCATTTCTTAGAAGGAAGTCGATACGAAGCATGAAATCAAAAAAACCAACAAATGATGACAAAGCCTAATATTAATAATGTTAAGGATTCCTTGCAATTTGATAAGATTGTCCAATGTTGCACAATTTCCAGTAAAACCTAACTAATGCGCCAGGGAATAGAACAAGTTTTCGTATTACGCTATCAAACGACCAAATCCCCATGAAGTGGTTTTTCAAAGCGCTGGCACCCTAAAGGTTGGATGTTTGTAAACAAAGGGAAAAAGGCGCAAACGAAATCGAACACCCGCACACACTCCTCCGCTCGAATCTCGCTCATTTTTCGAATTTTCAAAAATTTTAGATAATTTACCTATGCCCTATAAAACTTCATGAATACATTGCGTTTTGCCTTAAAGTAATGAAAGTAAAAATGAAAGTAAAAATGAAATCTCGCATCAAATGAAAATTTTCAGCTAGAAATTTTAATGTGACCATAAACTTTATGATAGACAAATTAAACGCAAAGTATCGGTATTTAAACAATTGCAATTTGAGGGTGGCTACTTTGCGCCAAATTTTTTCTCGGAACTGAGTCGTTTGCGCATTTGGGACTTTTGCGCAACTCGTCATAACTTTCTTCTAAGTGGGCCAATCTTTATGATTTTGGTGTCATTTTGTTGCACTTGTTGAAATCTACAAAATTACATAAAACCATAAAGCTTGCCCCACTTAGAAAGTTATAGCGAGTTGCGCAAAAAATTTGGCGCAAAGTAGCCACCCCCTTGCCATTTTGCATTGTTTCGATTGTCACATGAATGTCTGTTTGTTGATGTTTGACTACTTTTTGCTATCTAGAATCATCTACTTAGCTATCTGTTGGAAGAGGTTTATCATCAATGTTCTCAGCTTAACTTGACAATTTTACTTCAATTTCTCATCAAAAAATTTTCTATTGCCCTTCGAAATTCGAAACTAAACTTGTAGTTAGATCAACCACTGTTTCTGGGTATCTGCCATTTGCCCATTGGCACAATCGATATCTCTAATTGTTCTGCAATCGCAGGACAATTACCGGACCTGACCATTAACAGTGGATCTGCCCCGATTCTAGGTCAACCCACATTCATTTCATTCTTCACTTCACAAATCATTTCAATTCTTTATTTCCTTTAAATCCCTTTTTACTTGCTTCTCATTATTCAAACTTTCAGAAATGAGCGATCGCGATTGTCGCATCTATGTGGGCAACTTGCCGGATGATTGCCGTGAGAGGGATGTCGAGGATATTTTCGACAAATATGGCCGCATTCGTTCGATTGACATCAAGGCCAAGGGACGGGCACCAGCTTTTGCTTTCGTCGACTTTGAGGATCCAGCGTGAGTCAGATAAAACAGTAAAGAAGCAAACGGCCAATTTTTCTGACCTAGTGGACTTTTCCCGGTATTTTTTGGAGTGATAGTAAATTGTTAATCTTTAAGCACTTAAAACATTCCTAAGTTTATATGTAAATTTCATTTTCAGAGACGCTGAAGACGCGGTCAGAGGAAGGGATGGATACTCGTTTGATGGAATGAGACTTCGTGTCGAGTTCCCACGTGGTGTCGGTAAGAATTGAAATTAGTGTAATGTTATAACGATTTTATAAATAGATTTATCAATTCTAATTTCAGGCCCTCGTGGACCGGGTGGACGCCCAATCCACGATCGCGATGGAGGACGATCACGTGGAGGAGACGATCGCTACAGCAGCCGCTCACGCAACCCACCACCACGCCGCTCAAGCTACCGTGTCAAGATCACTGGATTGCCATCAACTGGCTCATGGCAAGATGTCAAGGTATAGTCAAGTTACAAGAAGTATTTGCAAACTTTGTGCAAATTAGAAAATTAGCTTTCATGCAGAGCTTTTGATGAGCTTGATAAGCTGCTAGTGAGTAAAGAGGAGCTTACTAGGGAATGGTCCGAAGTGAATGTGACCGTTTGGGATGAGTCATTCGATAGATCTCATGATAAATATTGATGCCCAAAAAAATTAGCGGCCCAAAGTAATTCTACAACGAGAAATGGGGCCCGAAAAGGAATAAAAATGACGTTTTTGATCCTCCTTTACTTTTTGACCCAAATTTTACTATTTTTTTTAGTTTCATTCGAGTTCTATTACATGCAAAAAAGATTGTTCAAAAATATTGATTCAGCAAAAAGTTCCAGCCCCGTCAAGGAGGATCAAAAACGTCATTTTTGTTCCTTTTCGGCCCCATTTCTCGTTGTAGAATTACTTTGGGCCGCTAATTTTTTTGGTCATCAATATTCATCAATACATGAGATCCATCGAAAAAGGTATGCTCATCCCAAACGGCCATATTCACTTTGGATCATTCCCTTGTTAGGATCATCTTCGCGATGCCGGTGAAGTCTGCTATGCAAATGTGCACGGTGATGGGACTGGAGTTGCTGAGTTCACTCATCGCGATGACATGAAGAGAGCGATTCGAAAGCTCGACGATACGAAATTCCGATCGCATGAGGTGCAGAGTTGTCTATTATCTTTATATATATATATATATATATATGTTGTATCCTATTTAGATTAATTCACCGCGGATATCAGCTTTGGATTGAAACACTATTGCTCAGTAGGGTATCATGTTTTTAAAATTTCATAGAAGTTTAAATCTCGCAAAATGTGATGCTAACAGGCTTTTCTAGGTTGCAGAGTTAAACTTCTATGAAATTTCTAGAAAATTATTAAAGACTTGGTATCCTACTGTGCAATAATGTTTCCAAATCCAAATTGGATATCCGCGTTTAGTTCAATCCAAATCGGATACAACATATACCGTAAATGCGGTAATAGAGCGACCCCCTATAGGAGCGTCGCGTAGTCTAAGTTTACGCTCAAACGAATGCTCATATCTCGGCACCAGTAGGTTTGTTTCTGCGCGCTTAGGTATCAAATTAAAGTAAAGAGGATGGGTGATCTTTTGAGATATAACACATTTTTAGCATTTTTAACACAGAAAGAAATGTATGGGCGCGGAGATATGAGCGGTTCTTTGAGTGTAAACTTAGACTACGCAACGCTCCTATAGGGGGTCGCTCTATTACAGCATTTACGGTAAATAAGCTAATGTCTATAGTTTCTCAACGTCAAAGAGACAGCTAGAACTGCTAATTAGCCAGCTTCAATTAGTATTACAGTAGGACAAAATCTCGTATCGATCTGATACGAAATTAATGGTCAGATCCAAAAGCAAAATGTCTTGATGTATTATTTCCAGGTATCAGATCTAAAACCCCGATTTTCAGGGAGAAACGGCCTATGTGCGTATCGCCGAATCATCGGACACCGACTCTCCGCCCCGTGGTGGTGGTGGTGGTGGTGGTGGACGTCGTTCTCGCTCTCGTTCACCCAAATATTCGCCTCGTCGCACTCGCTCTCGTTCTCCTCCATCTCGTCGCGGTGGAGGTAGTCGCAGTCGATCGGCCAGTCGTTCAAAGAGTCGCTCTCGTTCCCGTTCCCGCTCGTGAGGCCTCCTCTCAAATTGCTATCCATGTCAAAGTCCTTGTGCTCTAGTAAACGCATCTTGTCTGACACATCCAGTGAGTAGTGTTCGAGCACAAAGCAGCTTCTGACAAAGTTTTCTCAAAGTGTTCATCTAATTTTGTTATTTTCCTACTTATTTTTAATGTTATTGCTGGTTGTTCTATATGGTCTCAAGTTATTTCTCATCTTTATATGCCGATAAATAAGTTAAGATATCAAAGAGAGCCACTTCTGAATCGAGAAATCTCAACACCCGTAAACGTTTCTCAAAGAAACACCCACAAAAACTAAAGCACGTGAAGAAAAATGAGTAAAGTGAATAGAAGAAAGGATAAATTTTGGATATTCGAGTTATTACAGTAATCCCCTTGGCACCAACAAGCACTCTCGGTGATTGATGAGTCGGAGAGGCATGGGACAGGCTTCTGAAAGTTAACATTTATTTCATTATCACTTTGTTCAAAGTGCACTTTGCGTAAACTGTAAACGCCCATAAGGCACAAAAATGGTTGATGAAAAAGTGTTTTCGTTTCTTTTCATACTTCTGTTGAAAAATAACAAATTCATCAATTAACCTATGATTTGCTCTAAATAAAAAGTGTTTTGACATTTTAAAGCCGTTTTAATGTTATTTTGCAGAAAAATGAAATTGACCTTTCTAATGAAACAAATCGTATTTCAATTTGTTGGTTTTAAACGAAAGTACGAACGAAAAGACTTATTCACCAACCTAATACAAGTAACAAGTCCCATAAGGCTTATTTTAAGGCTATGAACTCTTTTCTCACTTCTGAAAACGTGCAAAAACTGTGGGTGGGCTCTCGTGGAACTTTCGGATTGGTGAGATCAAACATTTGTCTGTAGCAACCGCGGAATGTCATCGATGAGAAAGTGCCTAAAAGGGTTTAGGGTAAAGAGAGAATGTTTGAAATTGACCCTAACTCTTGTAAACCAGGTCAATTCAGATCAGAAGTCAAGTCTGTGCTTGGCTTCTGGACTTCTTGTGACTTGTTGTGAACCAGGTTTGCAGCCTTTGTAAATCCGGCTTCTAAACTGACCCTGACCTTGCCTAGCCTGAAAAATGACTGGGAACAACCCTGTTTGGAAATAGTATCAAGTGAGTTGTCTCACTTACAGTAAAAAATACTAAAATATCCATGTGTCAAAGCTAAATATATTTCGAATTCTTTAATTAAACAACGACGTCTATCGTTTAATATCAATATTTCTTTTCACCCGAATTATTGAGTGTCTGTGTCCATTTGAAGCAATACCCATCACAGTTCACAGTAGCTCTTTCCTGAAACAATTTTTTTAAAGAAAAATTGAAACTACCGGCATTTAGCAGTTTTAAAAAGGCTGAGAAAATGAATCTTCATAAAAATAAACCTTTAAAATCCATGTATCCGAGCTACAGTATGAATCGAAGACTTTTGGCTGAGCGATTCGTGGACCAGGACCCCGGTCTGTTGTCAGAAAATTCTACAAAAGGTAATCAAAGATTTTTTTCTACATTTTTACTCACATTTTTCAGATTTGTCGTCGCACAACTGTAGCATTTCCCTAAAATTGTTTTTATTAGATTTTTGAGGCATTAAACTATGAACAATGAGGGGTAAATTTTCGCAGAAGATTGAATAAATTGAAATTGAAACTTGAAAAATTCAAGCGTTTTCTTACAAATATTTCTATTTCATTTTTACATTTTACATTAAATAATTTAATCAAGAACAACAGTTAGATTGTCTTTAAAAATCTATTATAAATTTTCTAACTTTAGTGAACAAAAAAGGCATTAGATCATAGCAGAAGGCAGAAGGCAGAAGGCATTAGATCTAAGTTTTTACCCGAGACTTTGAAAAAGTTGAAACTCTAATGTTTTAATGCTAGAGTAACAGAAAAATATTTAATTCTATGCAAATTTGCATTAAATTTTCTAGAAGTTTACTTTAGTTATCAAATCCTAAAGCCTAATCAATCTTTATATAGAAATATTGAGCCAAAGATTGTTGTTCATATTGCCAAAGATCTTTCAAGTTGTTCATATTGCCCACCTTGTCCCAGCACGTGATCGATTCCGGCAAGAAGAAGAACAATAAAAACAAGAATGATCATTTATCGAGAATGATGCGTCAAATCTTTTTCCTTTCTTTTAAATCACAACCGCTGGAAATATCATCGAAAATGTGTGTATGTGAAATAGTGAAAAAGAAGAAAAAGGAAAGAGGAAAGGGAAATGAAAGCATCCGAATATCAGACACAATAGAGAATCTGGTGAAAGAAGGGAAAAGGGTTGATCAATGGAGGAAATCAAGCAAAAAAGTATTCAATTTCCATAGAGTATATAGTTAGTAAAGTAAAGTTTTACTATGACATGTTATCTATACCGATTGAACCTTGAGCGAAGCCAAGTGGTCCAAAACCTGCCTTTGCTTTGAAATCTAGTAACCCGCACTCTCTGGCACATCCAAGTTCTTATTTTTCCTAGTATATCTAACTATAAGTAAGCAATTCCGCAATCAGAAATTGAGTATGCTAAAGATTGAGCGTTTGCTCGAGCACACGAACTACGAATGAGTGGATTTAAAGGCAGAAAAGAAAATAATCCTAACCCTTCAGAAAAGCTTAATTCTTTTAGGGATTTTAGGGAAAAGCTTAATCAAAAAATGAAATCTTATCTAATAGTAAGTTTTTACAATTGAGTAAAACTATAAAATCAAGTTGCGTTTCGCGGGAAGAGTAAATGTTGTGTGTGTATTGGAGGGATATCTGATATCCCGTCACACAAGTCTTTTCCCTATTGACGATCAATGGGGAAAGGTAAATATTCATTGAAGAGAGGGGGATTCCCTACACAACGATTCACCCAATGAGTATACCCAATGAGCCGGAGATGGCTTTGAGCAGCCAAAAGCAAGCTTTACTTGTAATCATCAAGTTAAAGAAGTCATCAAGTTAAAGAAGAAAGCTTTAGGAAGCTAGAAAGTAAAGGTTCTTTGGGGTTTCAATAGCTGGTTCCTTGCAAAATGACAAAGGAAGAGTTGACAAAGGAAGAGTTGAACCAATAGTTTAGCAAGAGTTGAACCATTGTGAGAGCTGAGAAGATGTTTCTCTTAAAAAAGCTTTGGCTGAATACTTTTTAAAGTGACTATGGATTTAATACCGTAATCGTTTTCTATTTGGACTATAATTAGGGGTCTTGTGCTTTGTGACTACGAAAACGCACACGTTATGTTGCACTGTTCTATTTCTTTTTCTATTTATTGATTCTCCAGTAAAAGATAAAAAATCAGTGTGTCAGAATGTTTGCGTTTACGAGAGTCAAAGCACGGGGTAAGCTTTATAAAAGGCGGTAACTGTAAAATTCTAAAGCCATGGTAGGACGAACTGTACTTGGATAGTATTGGTAACAAAGTATTGGATGAGTTCAATACCAAGCGGAAGTGCCCAACAATAGGAGGGTTCATAGTGAAATGAAAGAGAGAAAAGGGGTTTTCCTGATTCTTTGGTCCTTTCAATAGGTAGTCTCTCGTTTCCCCAATCCATCCCCACCCTGGTCCGTTCCCTCACAAATACCCACAACAAATAACATAATCCACCGCCCATTCCATTGGACTAGCCCTCGCCCCGTCGACACCAATATTTTCGGTGGTTTTGCTTCACCTGTATCTCATGGGAATCTTTCAACGTCTTGCCTGTGAGTAATTCCTGTAATTTCAGTGAGTGGAACATTTTATAAAGGTGGATCACTTAATAAATTACCCGAAGCTTCTCTTAATTTTTCTGTTTTACTCACTTTTTTAATCCCTTCTTCATCAAATAAAAATCAAATGAAAATCAAATCGCCAAAATCGGATATCCAATTTTGCTTGAAACTATGATTCAGTTCAATTGTTGAATTTGAAAATCAGAAAAGATTTTTTCTTTCTTTTTATTGAGCATTTTCTATTTACAAGCATAATCACAGGTTCCCGCATCGAAATCATGTAAATCCACATAAAATATCGTTTTATTGTAAACGGAATGTCGAATGAGAGGATCAAAAATTCATCTAACATCGAAATTCATCAGTCGGCAAAATCATCTAACTTCTACACTAGAGTTTAACTTTTATATGCTTCTTCGCATATGATTTGATCGATTAAAGTAACTATCGGACAAAGGGTGATCGATTTCTTCGTGAGCATTTTCATTGGAGTGATTAGAAGATCCATTGCTTTGATTCTGATCACTACTTGGCTGTTCTCCAATCACTCCATCTCTATTTTCTTGATCTCCTTCTCGTTCTTCGGTTTGCTCTCTTGACGTTGATGTCCGTTGCTCTCTTTGCTGTTCCATTGCTTCGTGGATCGTTCGCGGTCGGGTGAGACGAGATCGACCATTGCGAGGAGTTTCAAGCAACGATGGTCTAAAAGGAGTACTGTAACAAATGATACTATAAATCATAGTACTTGCTATAGTACGCTGGTAATAGTCAGCCAGCAGACTGAATATCTTTAGACGATCTGACTATCCTACTGTAACATAACCGATACTGTAAAATATAGTTCAGTCTTCCTACAGTACGCAGTATTCAGCCAGCAGACTGGCCTGAAAGGTGGGCATTCTAAAATTCCGAACTCTGACAAACAAATCATGGAAATCTAGACCGGGTTACGGTAGCTTACGGTAGCTTACGGTAGCTTTAGTCGTATTCTAATCAAAGAATACTGTAAAGTCCAACTCTTTTGTCTCATTACACTAAACAAAGTATCCAGTCGATAAAACTGAATATTTCATAATGCAATACTCAAGTATAACTGTAGGAGATAATATCCGCTTTTTAAAATATCTTACAATTAGTCACTTATTCAATCTTTTCTTACTCACCGTAGTGGCGGAATTTTTGTCGCGTCCTCATAACTGGGCAATGGTGGAAGATTTGCTTCGCGGAGTCGGGATGCTAAAAATAGTTAAACAGTGGTTAGTTAAACAGTTCAACAGTATTGTTCATCAGCTATCTTTTAAGAATCCAATATTCAAATGTATATTCCAAATTTAAGATCCAAACCCCTTTGTGGAGCGGCGGCCATGTAAGGTGGAGGGCCCTCAATGCCCATGGCTACGAAATGCATCGTTGATAGGGGTTCCCGGGCACCTGAACTTGTATATTGACTTGGATAAGATATAAAATTATGCTACTTGCAAGTTTTATATTAAAATTTACCTGGTTGGCTCTCATTGACAGCCCTTCTTGGATTTCCACCGAACAATACCCCGAGTGGATCTCTTCGCGCTCGCACCGTCTGTTGTTGGTACTGAAATTATTGGAACAGTTTAATTCTAAGTCGAATCTAAACAATGTACTAATCTGAAGTCACAGGTTGATTTTTAAACCAATGCAAAACTTTTTTTGGATCAATGAAAGTCAATGAAAGTGAGTCAAAAGCTACAGCTACTGTTTGATATCCTATAAAGCACTTTAATTGACAAATTTTGGTACATTAAATCATTATCAAGATATTCAATCAACCGGTTCACCGACCTGAACCTGCATTCGATGTTTCATCAGCAAATACATCGAAATGACAAGCACAATAATCATTATCATACTGAACACCGTCCCCGAGATATCCCGCGAGAATAACTCGTTACCCTGAAAGGATTTTCGAATTTAAATCAAGTTTCGATACAAAGATCTTACCGTACTTTTATCCTAACAAACTATAATCAATAATTTTTACCGTATTCTCTCCATATCTCTGAAATCGCGAGCTCACCGTCCGATTCGTGTCGATCTCGCAGTGATACCCGAGAAATGTGGGAGGGCATGAGCATCTAGAAAATTTTCTTTTCAAATATTTCAAAGTTTCAATCAAATCCAAGAAATATTGAATTATTTGAGTGTCAAAGGAATGAGGCATTAATCTTTAGGCATTGGCATTTCTTTAGGCATCTTAACCCTATCAAATTTGAAAACATTTCCCAACCATTGAAACCATTTCCCTATGGGTTATATCTAATTATTTGTAGCCAAAATACGGGAAAAGAAAAATGTCTCAAGATCAGCACAAATTAGAGATTTTGCTTGGAGATACAACAAATGAACCCTGCCAATCGATTCCCCGACCCCGAAAACCCCTGGGTACAAACTTTTGGCTTCATATCTCATCTGAGCAATGTTTATAGAACAGAAGAAATTGTAGAAACTATTTGAAAGTACTGTAACATACTTTCGATTGCTCTCCATCCCTCCATTTAAACACAACATATCCCTGCACTCTTCTCCCTGATAGAATGGAACGCACGAGCAGTATTCTCGACCATCCATTCCTAAGAACAAATTTTGTAACTATTATACAAATCTTTATAAAATACGATCAATGTACTCGATTTGCTATTCGTACAAAGTTCCTAACCACCTTTTAACTTTTGTCCTTGCTCACAGAATTTCTCGCATAATTCTCCAAAATACGGATCCGGACAGAGACATCGACCGCCAAACGAAAGCGATCGGCGACCCCCATGAAGACATGATGGAAGAGGCCGGCAATGGGCATCCACTGGAGTATTTGGATCTGAAAATTGATAGTGATTTAAAAATTGAATTCTTTAACCTTCTGGGCATTTACATTTCACACCATAACCCGTGTAGGTGTTCAGATTGAACAACGCGTACGCAGCCAGCAAGAAATCGCCCTCGAAAACTCGGCAACCCTAAAAATGTTGCAAATTGGAGCTTTCTTATTGAATTTAACATTTTAAATGCAAATTTCAGCTTATATAAAATAGAATCGAAACCTCAGCTGGAACGACTCCCCTCTCGTCAATCGCATAATCGGAGACAGTTTGAGTCCAATTGGTGATCAGCTGAATATCCAATTTTATATGACAATCTGCTACAGGATCCCAGAAAGACATTCAGTCAAAAAGAAGGCATATCTTTGAAGACTAACTACTCAGTCTTGACGAGAGATACGGTAGCTTACTGTAAGCTTGCAGTAAGTGGTATTACGCCAGTTGAGGGCCACTTTTTTTTTCTTCAAAGCCACTGAAGTCCCAAAACTCGGCTTAAAACGCCTTTTCCCAGGCTCTCGTTGTGTTTTTCGGAATCTACGCATAAAATTACCCCAGAAAAAGAGATTTTGAAGAAAAAGTAGCTTCTCCAACCGTACCCAATAAGTTCTAGTGTTAATCGTTGTTATAAAAGATTGATTACCTTCTCATTTTCGGGCTTCGGCTCTCCACCCCGACAACACGTCACTTTGTAGGATCTTGGAAGCCAGAGGGGACCATGAAAATCAACTCCGGGAATGGGACTTGATGAGGCTGGAGGTGGGGCGCGGGTGGACGCCTGGAAAAAGATTAAATACTGTGATTCTTTCAGATAACTGCATCCTTTTCAACATGTTCTGAAAACTTACGGGAATGATATTCGGCGAGAGAATCGAGGCGAATCTTTGTTGATCACTTTGTGCATTCAACGGTGAATCAAATAAAGGAATCACTTGATGGAAAACTCCATTTTGGGAAATATGAGAGGACGAAGTGGCTGTAAAAAAACAAATTATCGTTTAAACCCAGTGTCAAATAGGGATCACGGATAAACAGACTTTTAATATTTTTAGTTGATCACTCATTTTATATTGTATTTTGCATTAACTTTGAGTCAAGTCTACATTTAAATTGTTCTACATTCAATTGTTTTACCTGCATCAATCGATGAACACCCTAGAAAAATGAGGAAAATCGAAAACGATCGAATCTTTCTCATGTCAACTCCCGTCCTCGAGGCATAGAATTGTTGAAATGAGGGGTGGTCACCCTGAATTCGATCAATTCATAGTTATCAGACGTTTGATGACACCCTTTTCCCATTACAATCTAACTTTGAGCTCAAATATCTTGGTGTTGCGCTGTTCAATTTAAATGTTCTTGATATCATTAGATGCGCCAAGTCTTTCTCTATCGATTGGTACAAAAACTATTTAAATTGGTCAGCCCAGCACAAAGAAATTTGAGCTCAAAGTTGGATTACCAATGGCAAAGGGGCTAGGCAAAAAAAACTCCCACAATCTTTTCATCGAGAAATGGGGGATTGATCAAAGGAAATGAGTGAAGAGAAAACAATAAAGCTTGCAATAAAACAATTACAATTACAATTACAATAAAACACTGTTACCATTTATATATACAATGTGCAAAAAATAAACCGAATGGCAGAGGTCACAAGTGTCACTTTTTGAGACGAAAGAGGGGATTTGTTTGAAGGGATTTGTCAGAAAATTTTCTTTGCGTAAATATAAGGGTAACAAGGTCCAACACGGCGACACATAAAGGAGAAATCCCCCGAAAATGGGACCCCATTTCCTTTCTTTTCTTTTCTTTTTTTCTCTTTCAAAAACGAATCCTTGGGGACATTTTCACTCTCCGAAAGGGTTCTGTTTATGCTTTATGGTTTGTTTCCCTGAAAAGAAAAGGGAAAAGCGTATGGAAACGGAATTTGGCTTTGACTATGCTTTGCTTTGCTTTGCGTCTGTAATTTGGATAGGTGTACTTTGTGCTAAAGAAAATGTAAACAAATCCTTTTCTGGTGCACTCAAATATTCAATTGCCGTTTTGTCAAAAATTCCCATCTTTGCCAGGTAGAGAGAAATGAAAAATTAGTCAAAAAAAGCAAAAAAACTCGTTTTTCGGTAAAAGGTCAGAGAAAAGGGGGAAAGATGTCTCAAATAAAATGAACTGTTATTTCAAATAGGAAAATTTTAAGGGGAAAACGGCAAGACAAATCATAGACAAGGCAAGACAGATTCAATTTCTGTAATAGCTATGCATTGACAGAGTATTGGGGAAATTTTCCCAGCCTGTCACCCCTTTTTCGTCCCGCCAAATGGGAAAATTTCATTCATTTTTGAGGAGATTGCGAGTGGGAATGGGAGTCGACAATGAGTATACGTCAATATAGAAACATTACTCCAAAAAACGAAAATACATTATAGAGAAAGAAGAGAGAAAATACTAGAGGCTTCAGGCAGAATTTTACAAGGATTGTGATTAATGCTTATCAATGCTTGAAAGGTACAGAGAATAGGAGCAAGTGATGCATTCTAACGTCTTCATGCAATCGTTTTATATGAGGAATTTGATTGAAAATGTCAATCTCTTGGTCCAATGTAGATCTGAAGTAAGGTCAGATAAAAGTTACCTTAGAAAAAGTGATCAAAACTTGAGATTCAAGTGTGATATCCGAGAACAAAAACTATAAGGAGGGCGTTTCACACAGTGATTGGCAGAAATCGACATGGAAAGAAGGGAAACGAATAAATGATTGATCAAGGAGAAAAGAGAAAAAAGGAAAACAACTAGGAAACTCGTCCTTTCCCCCTTCTTTAACCTTCCCTTTCCATTTCATCTCATTCTTTTCATTTCTCTTTTCTGTGACCTTTTTCCACTGCCATTCCCCCATCATCATTTCACCACAACAACGAGAAAAAAAGTTCAGTGTCTTGTCTTCTTTTTGAATCTATAGGGTCAATGCCGATGTGTGTCAGTGTCATTTGATACAAGACAGTGAAATGAAATAAGACTATTTACTTGATTAAATGTGAATATTTTCGAAATTAATGTATTGAAGAGCATTTAAAGATTAAATTCTTTGAAACTTTATTGAGAAAAGACTGAATCTAGTTTGTGACATGAGAAAACCTTAGCTTAATCGTTTCTCAATGGAAGAATGTTTAAAAATTCAATGTTCAATTCAATTCAAGTTCTATTTAGTGCTTTAGTAAATAAATCAGAGAAAAGCAATAAGAAAATTCATTTTAACGACCGTTTTCAATCAATATTTTATGATAATTTCTTGGATTCTTGTCTTTAATAAGATAAAACTTATTCTAAAGCCTAGGGCAAACCAAGATATGATTAAAAGAAAGGCTTATTCTTCTCTCCAAATTCCCTATTATTCTCTATTGGTCTTTTTTGGGGGAAAAGAGGGACCGATTAGTATGGGCGAATCGAATAGAGAAAAGGAAATAAAGAAATGAAGGGCAATTGGGGAATGCCAATGAAATGAGAAAGGCATTTATGAAGAAGAAAATGAAAAGAATGAAGGTAACGCGCTAAAAGCTTGTCTCCCAAAAATATCGGATCAAAAATATTCAGTCAATTGAATCCATTTCAAAAGTGACACCCTTGTGAACATTTATTGATATTTATTGATATCTTTCCCTTTCTTTCCCTTCCTTTCCCCTTCTTTCTTTACTTTTTCAGATCCACTTAGGAATCAACTTAAAATGGTCACTGAAGTTGGAGAATTTTAGTGCCACGAGAGGAGATCAACAACGCAATAACACAATAGATTAACAATTGTGATAGGAGCATTGCTTTTAAGCATGGCTTTGTATTTGGGTGATTAACTGGATTTGGTTGAGCGCGATTAACTTTTCACGCAAGAAAGCGCGCGTAAAGCAAAGAGAGACTGAAGCATAATAATAAAAAATGTAGATTAAAACATTTCCTTTACAAAATTTTTGCGTAATACAAAGAAGTTGTGGAGTTGATTTTACGAGAAAAGGAATACAAAGGGGGATTGTATGGAATGTATTGTGTGGAAGCATGGAGATGGAAAAGTAAAGAAAGAAGGGGAAAGGAAGGGAAAGGAAGGGAAAGAAAGGGGAAGAAAGGGATACCGTCTGTCTCACTTCTTTTTGAATACCTTTCACTAACTTCTCTCTCTTTTTTCTTTTCTCCAGTCTCGTCCCGACAAATGTTGACACGCGAAAGGAAGCGGATGAGGAAAGAAAAGGGAAATAATTGTGAGACGTGAAAGAACGAAAGAGGAACCATTTCCCCTCCGCACCAACCACTCCGGTACCCAAACATTGGCCAAATATGGGATAACAAGGGAAATGTGTCAACACATTCTCTATATTTTGTGATGTGCAACCAAAAGTCAGATTTGGTCCATCGAAACATACGAGGTCAAAAGTCAAAAGGAATTTTCTTGATTTTGCCAATGTTATCACAAAGTTACGCTAATCTTAAGAGGCGAAATTTTGAAAATTTCAAAAAAACGCCATAAAACATGTCTTCTTATTTTTGATTCTCTATCTGCTGCCAAATTTTCAGCCTAATCGGTCGATCACAGCCAACATTGAACATAAAACTTCGTGCATCGATTTAAAAAGCGCTGATCCAAAAAGATTAAAAAAAATGGCAACACAAAAGTTTTGTATTTGGGTGTAGATGTGCGACCAAAAGTCGGTTTCTGCCGATCTCAACAAAAGTGTACGGACAGACGGACGGAGATCTTATTTTATATATAATGATGTTTACGGTAAATCATTTTAGGATATAAGTGGCAGTTCCTATGGTGCTAAAATTTTTTGAAGCTATCGTTAAACCAGTTGAACGGATGTTTTTCTAAAATACATTCCTGCTCTCTAGCCACCGTCATCCACAAGATCGAAAGGGGCTCAAGTCTTAGATTGTCAATCATCATAGGTAAGTGATTGACAACAGACAGACAACAGACATTTTATATAAGATCTGTGAAATGGCTTTTTCGAGGTGTATTCGTCTATTTCGAGGTGTAACTTGATTATTCTCGAGAGATTTCGTGAAATTTGAAACCAAAATATTTCAATCTTCAATCTGTCAAAAAACAAACTTTAAAACATCCTTCGAGAAGTAGAAGTAAAGAAAATATACAAATAAAGAAAAAAAATTTGACGTGGGACGTGGGACTATTAAAAACCAGGTTAAAAAGCAACCAAAGAAGTTGTCAAAGTTGAAACACTAAATTTTTAAAAGGTAATAGTAAGAATTGTTAACTGTTAGATTCCAAAGTTAAAACAATGAATATGGCGTAGCCGATTTGCTTTGAAAAATTTTCGCTAGTCGATTTGCTAAGCCTTGAATTTCAGCGATCTTAGAATGACGAACTTCATTAAGTGATCCTGATATACCATAAGAAACTTGTAAACACTATCGGGAACGGATTGTAGATAAATGAGATCGACTTGGCATCGCTCGCTCTGCTCCTGTGTGGCAATCGACTTGATGGCAATTCCCTTCTTTGCAACCCCCTTCTTCAACTCGCACTCCGGGCACAGTTTAACAAAGAGATTGGAAATAGATCCTGAAAATCGAAACAAACTCCGAGAAAATCTATTGGGTTGGTGAATTGAAAACTGCCGGACTTTGAACTAAAATTTATTGAACATAAAACCATCAATTCATTCCAAATAATTTCCATTATTATTGACGACTTCTGCCCATTTTACAGGCAATTTGCGGATTCCTCTTTCGTAGTAGGATTTTGGTTTGTGTGTGAGACAAGTGTGAGATTCAAAAATGGAGGACTGGAGATGTTCCAGTTTGAGCGTTTCTTTAAAAGAAACCCATTTTGGTGTCAATAGAAAAGTTGTAGAGAATCAAAAATTAGGCTTATAGCCAAATTTCCAAAAAGATACACTTAGTAGTTTCACTTAAAATGCAAGTTTTGTGAAAATTCGTAAATTTGGTATTTCTTGAAAACCAGTTTTTGAATCGTTCTGAAAATTTGGATATAAGCTTGATTTTTGATTTTCCACAACTTTTCTATTGACACCAAAATGGGTTTCTTTTGAAGAAAGTGCTCAAACTGTCAAATATGACAATAGCCCGCAGTTTTCAATTCATCAACCCAATAGTTTTGTTTATCTTTGAATATTCACCAAATTATCAGTTAAACAGTAACGAATACGCTCTCCACCAACCCAATAATTAGTGTAT